AGGAAGAGTCGGTGTTGTAAGGTGCCCTCAAGTCGAGTAAGACTCATAGTGATCCTATGAACAAGAGATCTGAAGAGGGAAGAAGAGTCTGGGTTTATTTTAGGCTTGGGACTGAGGCAGGGGTTTCTCCTAGGTCAGACTCAGACTGGAGGTGGGAAAAAGGTGGTGACTCACAGTTAATGGAGACATCAGCTTCCCTAGTCAGAGCCCTGAGTCAGGGCAGTCAGAGAGCCCTGGTACTCTCCCGTCTCTTACACATACACGAACAAGTATATATATATACACACACACAGAACAGTGCCCCAACTTCAGTAGACTCTAGTCCTGGTAACATCTGGGTTTCTGCTCCACCACTCAAGATCTTCAGTAAAAGCTCCATAATCTCCATACATGTCACTCCTCCTTTCCCCCTGTGAAATCTAACTCTTACTCATCATCTTAAAGATCCCTAAATGGTATGAAGAGTTTACAGATGACTACTAACCTAAAAGTTGGCTGCTCCAATCTGCCCAAAAGGCCCCATGGAAGAAGTAAAGACCTGGTGATCTAATTCCATAGACATAATAGTCAAGAAAACACCATAAGGAAGTTCTACTCTGCAACATATATCTGGTTTGGATAGATATGGAGAAAGGATACAGCCTGGTGCATACCTTTCCTGATTTTAAACCAAGTGTTCCCTTGTTCTATTATAACAACAGTTTCTTGGTCTAGAAAGATTTTTCATATGAGCATAATTAAGTGCTCTGAAATTCCGTTCTTCTCAATGTTAGACATGGTTTGTAAGGATCCACACAGTCAGATGCCTTTGCATAGTCAATAAAACACAAATAGACATTCTTCTGGTATTCTCTGCTTTTAGCCAGGATCCATCTGACATCAGCAATGATAACCCTGGTGCCACAGCCTCTGCTAAACCCAGCCTGAGCATTGGGCAGTTCTCTGTTAATGTACTGTTTTGCCATTTTGGAGTGATCTTTAGCAATATTTTATCATTTCTACATACTGTTGGATTACCTTCCTTGAGAACGTAACAAATATGGATCTCTTCCAGTCAGTAAGCCAAGCAGCTCTCCTCCAGATTACCTAGTATAGACTGATGAACACATCCAAGGCTTCATCTGTTAGTTGAAACATCAAGTAGTATTCCAATTCCTACGGTCTTCCTTTTTTTTAACCAGTGTCTTCATCTGCACCTGGAATTTCTTCATTGACTGCAGCAATGGGAATGGGCACACGTATACCAGAAATGATGAGGGTGGCACAGGATAGGACAGAGTTCAGATCTGTTGTTCAGAGGATCACTGTGAGTCAGACTTGACTCCACAGCACCTAACATTAGTCAGGATGGACTCAACAGCAACTGGCTTTTGGTTTTACTCAACACTACACCTTTGGACAAGAAGAAATGTGGTCCCTAGGCTTAGACCAACAGGTCCCCTGAATTCTCTGTTTAACAAACTCCTTATATCAGTGTTTCTTTTTTTTGTTTGTTTGTTTGTTTGTTTGTTTTCCATCACAGCATATCAAGAAAGTGATATTTGTATGGTCCCCTCAAGCAAGGAAGAGAGGTTTCTCAGCCAGAGGCAACTAGCCAGAGGTCCCTGGCAGTCCAGATCTCCCTAGACCTAGAGTTGTTGGGATTAACCCAGGTGAATAAATACACTTTTGTTTGGAAAGTTTGTTTCATTGAGACTGCAGCCTAAGCCATCTCTACCCAACCAGGTTTCATATAGCCTCAACAGGGTCCTTGTCAGTTCTTTCAGTGCTCTCAGAATCTCCAGGTTTTGACAGTCTAAAAGAAGCCACTGAGTCTTGCCCCAGAAAAAGCACACACACACAAATACTTCTATCAAACTTCTGGGGATAATGAATTATGCATTCCACCCTTCCTCCAACCCCTCACCATGCAGGTCAGAGGACTTAAATTAAGGATTTCTACTGTAAAATCTTCACCCCTTATACAAACCCAGGCCAGTATGGGGGGCTAATGGGCTTTAGAAACAGGATTGGGTTTGGATTCCACCTCTAGCCTTTCTCTCTGGTCCCTTGAACTTGCCACTCACTCCTCTGAGCCTCAGTTTCCTGACAGTAAAATAAGAATTATACCTTTAATGTTGGATAGCTGAGAAGATTAAGTGGAATAAAACCATGCTAAACATATGCCCGAAGCCAAGCATATAGAATACACTATGTTGTTGTGTGCTGTCAAGTAGATTCTGACTATAGGAGGGAGTAGAAAATCATAGGTTTCCTGAGTTGCCAGATCTTTTCTCCTGCATAGTGTCTAGTGGGTTCCAACCACCTACCTTTGGATTAGTAGTTGAGCACTTAACCATTGTGCCACCAGGGTTCCTTCCACATGCTTCACAGACTGTTACCAACATTACCCACTCTTCTCCAACCTTACTGAAACTCAGCATGGCTACTAGCTTTAGAATTTGCACTTATATCTTAAACTACTCTGTGGAAATTCACTCTTCTGGTTCCAAAACTCTAGCCTTCAGAAGAGGCAGGCTGGTGACAACAGGAGCCTGGTGAGTGTTCTGCCCTTGCCCTTCACCCCTTCTCCCCTTGTAGAACAGTTACATGATTAATAATAGTCCGTCATCACAGCAAATCATTCCTACTGAGAGACAAAGGGACAGAGGGTACCAGAGAGGTCAGTTCTGAGAGAAAACAGAGACATTTAGTGACACATGGGCTGTGTCAGAGACAAACTGAGAGATACATGAAACAAAGAGAAAATGCTAAGAAGAGATCTTTGTTTTAGAAGGGTTATGGGCTTAGAGGAGAGGACACTTGGTTTGGAGTTCTAGATTCCATTCCACCACTGACTGGCTAGCCAGTATGACCATGAACAAGTCCCTTTATCTATTTACATCTATTTTCTCTTCTGAAGACAGAGGTGGACTGATGACCTCTAGGGAACCCTCTTGGCTAGCCTTTCTAGGTCAGCTTCCAGGTCTGGGGGGGGGGGCTATGCTCCAAGTAAGAGAGAGTCCCAAGTTCAGGCCCAACTCTGAGCAGAGGAAAGGATAGTCAGGAAAAGCCAGGCATGATGGGAGGAAAGACAGGAGGTGTCCGGGCCACTGAGAGAGGACTTATAAGGGCAGGGAAAGCCAAGAGAGGAGGGATATTGGGGAGAGGAGAAAAGCCAGCCAAAGAATGACTAAGGGGCTCCCGGTGTAAACAGGAGCAGAGAATGGCCAGGGAGGGGGCCTATTTGAGTTGGCCAAGGTTGTGGGGGGTGGAGTGGAGATGAGGATTGGGGCAGGACATTATGTCCCCTGTCCCTCATCAAGGCTCCTGGGAGGAACTGAGTCACACACCTCCCTCCCTGCACACACACACTCCCTCTTGCCTCCACCCCCTTTTGCCCTTACCCCAAGGTCCCAAATCCTGGGAAAATTTAAAGAGTTTCTCAGCCTGGGCTACGGGGGGGAAAAAAAGAGAGCCTGATTCATACAAATGCTTTGCTGGGTTACACAGCAGTCAGTCCTCAGCCTTTGTTCTCCCATAGTGGGATTCTAAGCCCCTGTGACTTAATTTCACCTGGAGGTTACTTCAATGGCAGCAGTTTATGCTGTATTTAAAATCTTTATCCCAGATACTCCTTGGTTCTTCACCTAAGAGAGGGTCAAGATCTGCAGATGTGAGAGTAGGATGGGGGCCAGCATCACCTTGTAGTCTGAGTAAGCTTCTATTGGAAGAAGCAGCTCTGGAGAGGGGCTTTTGAAAACAGCTGGGTGGTTGGAGACAGGAAGCAGAGTAGCAAGAAACTAACTCAGAGTACTTACAGCTTCAACTCCCTAGGCCAGAGTGGAGTAAAGGGCTGGGGAAGAGAGGGGGCAGGGTTTGACTTCAGGGGGGTGGTAATTCTGGAAGGTGAAGAATCCTGGAGGCAAAGGGCAGAAAGAGGGCTGGGAAGGAGAAGGGGTTAAGAGAGAAGCTAGGCGCCTTGGTCCCCCTCCCCCAGACTAAGATAAAGATTAGACTCCTGAAAGGTGATCTCATCACAGAGCCAGGGCTAGGGGAATGAGTGGAGAAGGGGGCACTGTCTTCCATTACCCGGAGTCCCTTCCTCTTCCACAGAAAAACTCAAAAGAATTAGCTGGGACCTGGGTTCCAGCTCCCAGGATCTAAAGCTACTAGAAACTGAATATTGGGACTCTTTTCAAAACACTACCCCCTGTCCTACTCTGAATCCAGGAAAGACTGAGGGGCCAAAGACCTCCATACCACACATGGTCCACTGCCGGATCGGATTGCCAAGGTAGAGGTTCAACAGAGGGTTCCATATCCTACAAATGAAAAGAGGGAGAACGGGGGCAAAGTTGTGAGGGACCTTAAACTCCTGATTTTTAGTTCGAGGAGCTTCAAGGGACACTAGGGAGATGGGCTTGTACAAGGGAACTCGAGAAGCCAGTGTGTAGGTCCTCTCTCAGACTGCCTGGAAGCACTCTGTACCTCGATTTCTGACTCCCAAATCCAGCTGGCGGGAACCCAGGCATCCGGTGGCCCCAGGAAGGCAAAGGGGAATCCCAGTTGGTCAGACGCCAGAGAAATCTCCAGTCTTTTTTAGACCCCACAGTCTCCTCCCTGAAAACGTGAGGGAGACCCTACACACATACTACAAGCTCCCTCCACCCTCCAGAGGTGATTCTTTTCCTCATTAGGAAATTCTCCGCTCCCTTTTTCCGACTCCTTTTCCGAGCGTAAACGTTGTACATCTGGAAAGGGGGGGAGGGGGAAGCAGGGAGAAGGAGGGGGAAAGCCCAAACCCGCCCAGTCTGACCCAGTCCAGACAACCGGCCTCCAGCTGCGGCTGGGGCAAGGGGAGGGGGCGGAGAAGTGTGGCCCCCCACGCCCCTTCGGGGTGAGGGGCGCGGGCTCAGCGTTCCTAGGACCCAGGAATGCCCCCTCGCCCGCCCCCCGGCCGGCGGGAGGAGGGCTCAGCCGGGAGTTTGGCAAACTCCTCCCCGCGTTGAGTCATTCGCCTCTGGGAGGTTTAGGAAGCGGCTCCGGGTCGGTGGCCCCAGGACAGGGAAGAGCGGGCGCTATGGGCAGCCGGACGCCAGGGTCCCCTCTCCACTCCGTGCAGCCGCGCTGGAGCCCCCGGCGCCGACCTACGCGGCCGCCGCTGCCGCTGCTGCTGCCGCTGTTGCTGCTGCTGCCGCCGCCGCCCCGGGTCGGGGGCTTCAATTTAGACGCGGAGGCCCCAGCGGTGCTCACCGGACCCCCGGGGTCCTTCTTCGGCTTCTCGGTGGAGTTTTACCGGCCGGGGGCGGACGGGTGAGTGCGGACGGCTGGCGACGTGTTACTGGGGAAGGACTGGAGAGTGGGGGCGCGGCTGGGGTCTGGAGGGGACCAGGGCTGGAGTTTGAGGGGCGGAGTTTGGAAGGACTAGGGCTGGAGTTGGGGGCCCACGCTGGAGCTTGGAGGAGATCTGACCGGCGTGGACGGGGCCCCGGAGTTTGAGAGCGATCGGTGGAGAGTCATGTGTGGGCTGGGGAGAGGACACGAAGCTTGGAAGCTGGAGAAGTCTGGGCTGGGGTCTTAGGGCCAAGGGACAGGAGAGCGTGTACACGGAGAGAGCAGAGGGTCTCCGCTCCGACCCGAGGGCTGCGGGGACGGGGGAGGGAGGAGGGCGCGGAGACCGGGAAGGGCTTTGAGGGGCCCTCTTAGAAGACCTCCGGAGCTAAGGGGGCCATTGTGCAGTGAGTGAGAACAGGTCGAATAAGAAGTGTACGTAATAAGGGGAGAGTCGGAGACTGAGGGGGTCGGAAGGTTAATTGGGGGCCAACTTCATCCTCCCCTCCCCCCTCAACTCAGGCTGGGGAAAGTCCTAGGACGGGGGACAGCAGCTCCCTCCCCTTCTCGGTTTCCTACTCCACCCCGCACCCCAAACTCTGTTCAGATGAGGGGGACTGGGAATTTGAGGAAGTATTGGGACCCTAGCACTGGGGTCTTTGGGGGTGGCTCAGCCAAGGGCGGGTGCTCGGATGTGTCGGAGTGGGGTGTGTGTGCGCGCATGAAGGGGGTGGGCGGTTTCCCTCTTCCTCTAGCTCTTGGGAGGAAGAGAAAAACTGATTTCCTGTAGCTTGTCGGCTGGAGCTGAACTGAGACCAGGACATCTGGGACTGAGGTCGGAAGCTGGGTAGACGCTGGCTCCCAGGCCCAAGAACCCAGAGAAAGAGCGGCGAGAACAGGACACGTAGGGACTGAAAATTCTTAAGAAAGAGATCATCCTTTTCAAATCTGTAGGGTGACAAGCAGACTCAGACCCTGAGTGTCTGGAAAACGGGGTACTCCCAGACTTTGAAAGGGAGCAAGCGCAGAGGCAACAGTAGAACCTCAGTGTTTGTTTAAATCGGAGAGGTGAAAATATTAGGGGGAAAGTGGGCCCACAGACCCCCAGGACAGATACCTGGTCATCCACAGTGACTGGAGCAGTCCTTTCCTAAATCTCTAAGCTTTGAGCTACCCACTGCTCCCTGCCACCCTTGCCCCAGGTGTCTCCTAGCTTGATAGGACTTCTGTCAGAGGTGAGCAGTTTCCACTCATTGGAATCCAGTTACCTAATCTGTACTTATTTTCTTTAATTTTAAGTAAAATAATTTAATCTCGATAATTCCATTGGTCCAGGCAAATTTTTTCTTTGTCTGGAGGCCTTGAGGATAGGGAAAAAAGAACGTTTAGGCCCCAGCTATTAGTTTTGGGCTATTCAAGGTCCCCATTCAACCTCCACCCTATCCCACTGGCTTCTTGCCTAAACCCCATTGCATCACCCTAGCCTGGAGCTTCTGCCAGGCCTGGCCTCCCCGAGAACCCCCTCAAACAATGAAGTCTCTTCCCTTGGATCAAGGTATTCCATTTTCTGGCTTTTAACCTTCTTCTCGCCTAACAAAAGTGTCATTTCTCTTTTAAAGCACTCATCTGAAGCATCTGGACTTTCAAATACACACTCCTGGCCCTTGGCCTGATCATATAGTCCTTAAAACCTGTTCTAAAACGGGATGCATCCCTTCTCCCTCCCCTTCTCATCAAGCCTCCCCAGAGAACCCAGGTGTTTCTCTTTACAATCCTCTCAGAGTAGGACTGAGAACATTCTGTCTCCTCTATGACTTGCCACCACAGCTGGGCCTTCAGCCCCCACCCCCTCTGGAATAAACACAGCCCCTCACCTGCAGCCACTGCTTTGAGAGGGCAGGCCAAAATGTTGCTTCTCTTGCATCTCATTGCTCTGATTGTGAGCACTGGAGCAGGATTAAGGGACAAAGCTGATTCCTAGAGAGGTCACCTGGCAGGGAAAGGGCAAAGCTTTAGGGACCTGAAGGCCTAAAAACAAATCCTGGACCCACTATTTACTGGGTTTTTGTTCTGAGCATTCAGTTAGACAATATATATGAGAAGCAACTAGTCCATAAAGGATCCTCAATATATGTGAGGCATGATTTTTATGGAGTAGCTGTTTTCTATTTCTGGGTCTTTTTCCTGGCCACTTGTGTTCTTTGTCTTAAGTTTTTCCATATTTCTTTCTTTGCTTTTAGTACTTGCTTGTAATAGTGATAGTAATATTCGTCCCTAACATTCCTTTTGTACTTGCATATCTGTTTTTCCACTTTTTTATTGCAAAACTCTGCATTAGGCATAGTATCATTACCTCATTTTACATATATATATATATTGCAAACTCTGGTGGTATAGTCTGTAGAAAGTTGTGCTGCTGACCCAAAGGTAGTGCTTCTCTGGAAGTTTTAATCCACCAGTGGCTTCAGTGGAGGAAGATGGACAGGCAGTCTCCTCCCGTGCAATTTACAGCCTCCAAAAAGTCACTGTAGGGTCAGCTGTGAATCCGTTCCGACTTGATAGCAGTGAGTTTGAAGGTTTTTTATTATACTAAGGCTTTAGGAATCATGCAAATTACTTTAGGGACTATTCAAGGGAACTGATTATTTGTGAGTTTAAAATCCTAGACCTGGAGAGAAGAAATTACCTGATCCAGGATATAAGCTGGAAGCATGGACCGTCCTTAACCCAGGTACTTATTCCCCACCTCTCACCATATGATCAAACAGAGGCAACTCTTGCCCCTCAATCAGCCAAGCACACCCCTTTGTGAATGCAGCAGGGCACCCAGAACCAGATGTCTTTTGATTTGTCCTGGGTTCTAATAGTACCTGGAGCCAGGCACTGGTCCACTTGGAGTTTCCCACCCCCGACCTTGTCAGGCCAACAGAGTCAAACAGTAACTGTGTATTGAACGAGGCCTTAGTTAATCAGAAGCCTGGCTGGGGAGATAGTGGAGAAGAGAAGAAAGGAGAGGACAGGATAAACTGGTAATGGAGAACACAGGCATAAGAATCAAGATTCTCAGCTTCTATTCTGGTATTTATGTTGGAAGGACCCTGAGTGACCTTGGAAATATTACCTAATCTTTCTGAGATTTCATTTTCTCCTCTTTAAAATAAGGGCATGAGCCTAGGTCAACAGTTTCACATTTTTTTTCCTTAAGCAGCCAAAATTTTTATGAAAGTTTGTTGTTGTTCAAATGATCAAAAAGATTCAGTGAAACAGAATACTTTGAAAAGCTGTATTTTAGGTCATCCTACATAAAATGGGTAAAAAAAGGTTGCTGAAAAGAAAATAGGAAGAGGCATTAGGACCATGCTAGGAGGTATTAAGCCACCTTTCCCTCTCTAGGTCAGTGCTGAGGCAGCTACAGAAAGTCCTAAAACGAGCAGGTGCTCTCTACTGCCTTCCACTGTGGTCACCTGGATCTCCAAGATCAACTCTAGACCCTGGGTTCTATGCCTTCAAATGAAGTAGGGCAGTTCTCTCTTCTCCTGTTTTTGAAAACTTTATCTTCCTAACTGTATTGGGTAAGGAATAATTCATTCCTTTTTCCCACTTTTTATTAACCAGAAACATCTAAAGCTGCCAATCAGAGCTTCTGACCAGCATGAGATAACAAGACTTCCACATAAGCTGGTATAATTACAGCCAAAAACAAATACACTTGAGGTTTTAGCTAGCCTGGGCCCCATTATCAGGTAAATGCATGATTTCCGTTAAGCTTTCTGAAATATTGAAAATAGCCTGAGGACCCTTTACTGTTACCTTCTTGGATCCCTGTGAGGGCCCACGTGGGAAGCAGAAACCAGAAGTGGAAGGATAAGGACAAGCTGTTTTACATAGTGTTCCTGACACAGAGACCTGGCTCAGCACCTTGGGGAGATCCCTGTTTATTGGACTGACCTGGGCAAGCTGGGTTGGATGGGTTACTTCCTTCTGAGGAACATGTGGTGATAGGTAGTCAGGGAAAAGGAGCCCTGGTGGCTCAGCAATTAAATGCTCAACCACTAACCAGAAAGTCAGTGGTTCTAACCCCCCAGCCACTTTAAGGAAGAAAGATAGGACTGTTGGCTTCTGGAAAGTTTACCATTTCAGAAACTCTATGGTAGACTATTCTGCTGTCCTGCAGAGTCACTATGCGCTGGATTCAACAACAGCAGTGGATTTGAGTTTTGTTGTTTTCTTTGGTGGTCAGGAGTGGGTCATGGTCTGGGCCTCTGTCTGTATGTCAGGTCTCCTGAACCTTCATTGCACAGTCTACAAGGAGGCCTTGTGGACTTTACAGACTCTGTCTCTCACCTTCCAGCTATGCCAAACTCTTAAGCTTCATCCTCAGGCTACGCTATAGGGGTTCTCAGACCTACCTAGCTCCTTCTGCAGAACAGGGATGTGTTGTTCACAAACTAGGAAGTGAAAGCACGATCCCAAAGCCCCAGCCCTGCACTATCAAGGACATAACATGTCAGAGTTCCAGAAGACTGAGAAAACCTGTGCAACTTCTTTATCCAGGGAAGCTGAAAAAGAAGCCCCATTCCACACCGAGCTAGTGCTTCTGGACCAGAAGTCCTGACTGTCTTTGGCTCCTTTCACTGCCTTCTGGTTCCACAACTATTCAGTCTAGTTCTGGTCAGTGATCCTTCCTACTTCCTAGAGTTTGAGGGTACCAGCCAGATTCTCTGGGGATGGTTCTAAGTTAGGGGGTACACAGTCTTTCTTCACCCAACCTGAGGCAAAGCAACTTCTCCTCCTCCCTTCCAGCCAAACTCACCTACTGAGACCTTGCCACTGGCCTGGTCATCTGGCCTTTGGAGTGGCCAGTTCCCACCCCCTAACTAGATGTAATGCCTGAGTGAGAGGGGTGGGGGAAACAAATGGAGAAGCCAGAGGCTGGAAACTGACAGGAAGCCACAGGCAGTAAACATTTCCTGTCCCCAGGGTAACAGGCTGGCACCCCACCCCTCTATCACTCCAGGAACTCTCCTGTTCTGCCCACCCCCACCTTTATTCCCTCTGAACTCTGCCTTCACTTTTCCCTGCCCTCTGAGCCTTTAAAAACCCCTGCCCCATTTCAGACCTCTGGTGGTATAGTTCATAGGGAGTTGCTCTCCTCACCCATAGGCTGAGCCTCTCTGGCAGTTCAAATCCACCAACGACTCCTTGGGAGAAAGTTGAACAGTCACCTCCCTTGGGATTTACAGCCTCAGAAACCCAATAGAGGGTCAGCTTTGAGTCCGTTTCAACTCAGCAACAATGAGTTTGAGCCCACTTCAGACACTGTGGACCTACGCTCTCAGGTATTTCCATGCAGTTCCTCTGCGGAATTGCCCACAGTGGATGGCACAGGACCAGGCAGCTTTTCATTCTGTTGTGCATGATGTCACCATGAGTCAGGCAACTCGAAAGCAACTATCAATAATAACAACATTCATCCTGCACCCTATTCCTCACAGCTCTTCCAGTCAATGGACCAAGTCCTCTTGAGACACTTGGAGATTTCAGAGCTTGTTCCACATCCCTGACTTAAGTCCACTGTCATAATGAGAGGTTAGGGAAGTATCCAACTTCCAGGGAGGGGTGGATACCAGGGACATTGAAAGATGAAAGAGGACAGAATCATTAGGGAAGGAGAATACCAGATCTAAGGTGGTGGTTGTTGATAGGTGCTGTCAAGTGGCTTGTGACTCATAGCGACCCCATGTACAGAGTATCTCTGAACCCTGTGCTATCCTGAGCCAACCTCACTGTCTCTGACACACCTACCCCCATTACCCCAGTTACTGAGTCAATCCATCTCATTGAGGGTCTTTCTCTCTTGAGCTGACCCTCCACCCTCCCAAGCATGATGTCCTCCTCTAAGGACTGCTCCCTCCTTGTAACATGCCCAAAGTATGTTAGATGGAGCTTCAGAATCCTTGTCTCCAAGAAGCAAGCTGGTTTCACCCTCTCTGGGATGAACTTATTTGTCCTCCTAGCAGTCCATGGTATATTCAGTACTCTTCTCCAGCAACACAGCTCAAAGGTATCAACTCTCCTCTCATTCCTGTAGTTATCTAAGGTAGAGCAGGGGGAAAAGATACAAAAACAGCCAAAAGAGCAAGCAGTCATAGGGACCCAGAAATTTAGATCCAGAGCCAGAGTTAGACACAGGTGCAAAGTAGAGACCAAGGCTGGTGAGACCATTGCCCAGTGACCAGGTCGAGTTGCCCAGGTTACCAGATGCAGTCCTCATGGGAGACTCCGAAGGGGAAAGCCAAGAAGATGAGAACTGTGGAGGCAACAGAGGCAAGGGGCCCCAGGATGGTAACAGGCAGATTGCCCTAGGACCTTAGCTATGACCATCCCATTACATAAGACCCCGTCAGATGCAACCTTTCCCCACATTCTCAGAAGGAACTGAAACACCTTATCTAGCTCTAGGACAGCAGTAGAGAAATCTGGATTCACACTTCCAGGGATGGTATATAAGAGAGTCTGAGACAAAGATCTAGCCAGGATGGAGAGGTCCAAACCATGGCTCTGGAGTGAGGGCAGGCCTAGGTACAGGGGAATAGCCTTTCTTCACCAATCCTCCAGCTCCTTTCTCCTCTCCTGCTGCTTGATTTCCAAGACTCACATTTTCCTCCTACACACCCCAGGGCTGGGCAGCTGGATGCCTGGGTCTTGGCTCAATGAAGAGCTTTGGCGTGGTATAAGCAAGAGCAGGCTAGGTGAGAAGACTCTGCAGCTCCCAGCGCTCAGTATCTAATCCAAGGAGGGACTTGGGGAGAGGAAGACACTAGGTCCAGACCCTCTGGCTCATATTCTCTTTCAGGAAGTTGACTCTAGTTTTCCCTCCCTTTAATCACAGGGGAAGATAGAGTAAAGAGAGTAGCTGAGAAGGGGAGGGGGGAATGTTAGTGACAGCGGCACATGGGGACCGCCTGACTCCAGCCTATGCCTCTGGCATCTGTGGCATCTTCTGAGATATAAATACAACCCAGGGGGCATCCACCCCACCCCTCAGCCAGCTCTGGCCCCATTACTGGGACCTGAATCCTTCTTGCATTGGGAGAGTTAGGTGCTGAACACCAATCCTTTTCCCTCCGCAGGGTCAGCGTCCTGGTGGGAGCGCCCAAGGCTAACACTAGCCAACCCGGAGTGCTGCAGGGTGGTGCTGTCTACCTCTGCCCCTGGGGCCTCAATGCCTCACAGTGCACCCCCATGGAATTTGACAGCAAAGGTAACCCAGCAGGTGGGGAGGGGGATTAGCGAGAGATGCATCAGACTGTAGTTTGGGGGCGAGGCTTGTGTGATGCTTGAAGCCAGAGGTGGAGCCTGTCCAGTTCCAGTGGCCACGTGCCCTTCTGAGCCTTCTGGTTTCTCCAGCTCTCCGTGGTCCTCACACCATGTTCCCAGTTCAGCCCAGCCCAAGGAGGGCAGGCATGATTCAGAAACATGTGGCTCTCATTTCCCCTGAATCACCCACAACTCAGGGCAGCAACAGAGACAAAGACAGGGAGAGTCACACAGATCATTCGACTCATTTAACTAAGCCCTGACTTAGTAATAGTACATGCTGGCACTGTGCTAGATGCTAGAGAGAATCTAAAAATGACTATGCCATCATTCTCAAGCAGCTCATGGTCTAGAGTAGATGCAAAATAGATGGTAGGAAGACAAAGACTGTCCTTGTGGTCTTGTTGGTGCTGTAGCGTTCACTACAACTGTAGCAACCCTATGAACAACAGAGAAAAGCCTCAGCCTCTCCTGTAGGAAGTTGCACTGCTAACCCAAAGGCCACACCCCTTTGCCATTCTAGTGGTAGCTCTAAGGTAGAAAGATAGGCAGTTTCCTCCTGTGTGTTTTATAGCCTCAGAAACCCAATGGAGAGTCAGCTCTGAGGCAGGGCCCACTCAGCGAGGCAAAGACTGTTGTTGTTGTTGTTGTTGTTGTTAGGTGTCATGGAGTCACAGTGCAACTCAGTGACCCTATGAACAACAGATCTGAACTCTGTCCTATCCTGTGCCATCCTCATCTCTGACACACTTGAGCCCATTGCTGCATTCACTGTACCAATCCATCTGGTTGAGGAGCTTCTTCTCTTTTACCAACCCTCCACCTTTCCAAGCATGATGTCCCTCTCCAAGGAATAGCCTTTTCTAGCAACATGCCCAAAGTATGTGAGCTGAAGCTTTATCATCTTTGCCTCCAAGGAGCATTCTGACTTCACTTTCTCTAAGATATGTCTGTTTGTTCTTATGGCATTCCTTGGGATATTCAGTACTCTTTTCTGACACCACAGCTCAAAGACATTAATGTTTCCTTCTGTCATCCTTATTCATTGTCTGGCTGTCAGATGCATAGCAAGTGATTGAAAAGACTAAACCAGGTGTATTGCCTGTTTCAAATTGATATAATTGCTTCTCAATAATTTGGATCATGAGACATATTATAGTTGGAAAGTCCTCTAAAAAGTATTGAAGAGGCAAAAGCTAGGGATAATAATAACAGCCAGCCCTTATCTAGCTATCACTCATCTGTCTGTTGTCTTGTGAGGCTTCACCTGTTGCTATAATACTAGAAGCTCTGCTGGACGTGATTTCAAACACCAGGGTCATATATAGTAGACAAGTGTCTAGACTAAGGCAGACTAGGAAGCATGACTGGCCACGCATTTGTGAAAAAGACCGTTGAAATCCGTATGAGTAGCTCTTGTCTGATATAGTTCCAGAAGATAAGCCCTTCAGGCTGGCCCAGCTGAGATTTTGAGGATGGCATAGATTTAGGCAAAATCTCCAGTGTGTACAGTCACTGTGAGTCAGAACGACTCAACAGCAACAACCCAGCATACACTGTTGTAAATATATTTACTCAGACACTATTATAAATATATATATATATATATATATATATCCTTATTTAATCCTTTCAGCCCTGTGAAGCTATTGGATAATAATTACCATGTTCTATATGTAAGGAAAAAGAAAAGTTAAATAACGTGTCAGTAATCACACAATTAGAAAATAGTAGAGCCAGGATATGAATTCAAGCAGTTTGGTTCCAAAGATAAAGGTCAGATATAGGAAAAATAGAGGAGAAATAGGGAGAGACATGAAAGATGGAAATATGGGATAGAGGTATAGTTTTAAAAGCCTGAACGACGGGGAGCTCTAGTGGCCTAGTGGCAAGAAGCTGCACTGCAATCCCAGAGACTCATGGTTCAAATCCACCAGATGCTCTGCCGGGAAAGGAGGGAAAATCTCCCCCTGTACCAGTCAGATCTGATCTGACGGTACACAGACAAAAGACGTGACGATCAGAAAAATAAAGAGAAGCTGTCATGTACAGGTCAGAGGTAGAACTTGGAAAGTAAAAGAGACATAAGGCACAGGAACCCCAAAAAAGGTCAAGAAGAGATGGAGCACGATGCTGTCAGAGACAGAGATAAGGACAGAGAAGTGTAGCCAGAGGACCACTCTCTTGGGAAATAGCTAATCACCAGCTCCCTCTTCACAACATGTTTGTTCCAGCTAGATGAGAGGACAAGGAAATCAGAAAGGAGCTCTAGAACTCCTAGGCTCTGTGTGTATGTGGTGAGTTGAGCTGTACAAAGCAAGCAATCCCCACTCCTCTCCAGTGAGTCATGGGGCTCAGGACTTGCAAGTGCTTTGACTCCCTAGGCTGAGTGTGGAAGCCCCTCCTGCAGAAGAGAGTGGGGGCTACTCTAGGGCTCAGCCGCCCATGTGGCCCAGAGCCCAGCATGGCTCTCCTTTCTCACTTGCCCCAGGCTCTCGGATCCTGGAGTCCTCTGTGTCCAGCCCAGAAGGAGAGGAGCCTGTGGAATACAAGTCCTTACAGTGGTTTGGGGCAACAGTTCGAGCCCATGGCTCTTCGGTCCTGGTGAGGAGCTGAGTGGGCTGAGGGGTCTGGTGACTCGGGGATGGGCAGTGGTTGTATGGGGCCAGATAACTCTGCAGCACATCCCCTGTGGAACCCCTAGGCCTGTGCCCCACTGTACAGTTGGCGCACTGAGAAGGAGCCGATGAGCGATCCCGTGGGTACCTGCTACCTCTCTACAGACAACTTTACCCGCATTCTGGAGTATGCTCCTTGCCGCTCAGGTAGGGAAAAGTGTGGGGCTGTACCCCAAGTCCACCATCTCTACTTGAGTGCCCTCATATGCTCAGGGCTGCCTCCCTCCACCAACCTCTACACTCACTGCCTTACCTAGAAAGGCCCTCTTTCTCCCTCCTCCTACTCCCCTCCATGTCCTCTTGCTTCTTTCCTTTGTGGACCCATCTGTGCAGGGCTCATCTTCACCAACTTCTTCCCTCACAGATTTCAGCTGGGCAGCAGGGCAGGGATACTGCCAAGGAGGTTTCAGTGCTGAGTTCACCAAGGTAAGAAAGACTCCTGAAAGGGAAGTGGCTGGTGGCAGTGGACACAGGGAGATAAGAACCAGAAGTCAAATTCACCTCCTCCCCTCCTACAGGCTGGGCGAGTAGTTCTGGGTGGACCAGGGAGCTATTTCTGGCAAGGTGAGTTCTCCCTGTGACATTTTTTAACTCCCTGTTTACAGTCTTCCATCCTCTCTTCCTGCCTGAAATCACCAGTCCTTCCTTCCTTCTGCTTTCTCAACCCCTAGCCTTTTTTCCCTTTTCTTTTCTTGAGATTTACATGTCCTGTTCCCTCAACCTTCACCCATTTCCTTCCTCAACCAGATTTCTGAAACCCTGTATATTCCCCCCCAACTCCCCGCCTTACCACCTCCCCCATCCATCCGTTTCTCATCCCTTTCTCCAGGCCAGATCCTGTCTGCCACCCAGGAGCAGATTGCAGACTCCTACTACCCTGAATACCTGATCAACCTGGTTCAGGGGCAGCTGCAGACTCGCCAGGCCAGTTCCATCTATGATGATAGCTACCTAGGTGAGCAAGCAAGTGGAGAAGGCCCAGCATCGGGGGGATCCTCAGTACTGGCCCCACATCCCCTCTTGCTGTTCTTCTCCCACTTGGACACACTGGCCCCTCTGCCCTGCTTCTCTTATGTAGGCTAATGAAGGCCCAGGAAGGGTTGAGAGGGGATTGGGAGATGGGCATGGCAGAGGGGTCCCTGAAGCAAGAATCCTAACATCTGTCTACTCTGCCCCCCAGGGTATTCTGTGGCAGTAGGGGAATTCAGTGGTGATGCTACAGAAGGTGAGTGTGCATCGGGCTTGAGCCAAGGGAACTGGAGGCTAGAGACTTCGAAAGAGGAGGCATGGGAACTGAGACGTCTGCCATGGTTCTCTGACTCCCCTTTCCCCACTCTTAGCCACACTTTCTCCTCCCTTTGCAGACTTTGTTGCTGGTGTGCCCAAAGGGAACCTCACCTATGGCTATGTAAGACCTAGCTTGAACCCCTGCTCCCTTCCCTGGCTAATCACAATCATGCATGGCTGTTTGTGATGAATCAGACATGGGTTCAAGTTCTGGGGGAATCATTCTATTAAGCAGGCATACCTCATTTTATTGTTTCCTAAATATTTCCTTTTTTTAACACATTGATGATTTGTGACAACTATGTTGACCAAGTCTGCTAGCACCGTTTTCTAATAGCATGTACTCGCTTTATGTCTGTGTCAAACTTTGGTAATTCAAAATTTTTTATACTATTATTGCATACTTAATAGACAATAGTATATAGAATATATTGTAAAAATAATATTATATGCACTGGGAAACAAAAATGTTTTGTGTATCTTACTTTACAAGGGTAGTCACTTTTTGGTGACGGTCTAGAACTGAACCCACAGTATCTCTGAGTTATGCCTGTACCCTGCTTTACTTCATGAAAGACCTTGCACTTGCTTAACCTCTCAGAGCTTCATTCTCCTCTGTATAATGGGATAATAATAGTTCTGACCTCACAAGGCTCTCATAAGACTGAACTGAGATAATGCATGTGAAAGTACTGAGTAAACTGTTAGGCAATCCACAACTAGTAGCTGTTATTATTAGACCATGACAAGTACTTTTGAAAGGATACAGATAAGAGTGCCATAGGAGTTCATTTAATTAACAACATTTATTAAGGCAAGGTAAGAGATAAGAAGATGAATAAGACCTCATACCTCATAAAGTGTTTCTAATAAAGTATGTAAGATAAGACACATGCATAATTATAATCTAATTGGAGCTACTATTTATGAGCCCTCAATGGGGCACTGCCTATTCATGGTTTCTATTCTTTACAGCAGGCTTATGGGGTACATATTATTGTTCATATTTTACATAGGCGAAAACTAAGGCTCTAAGAGACCAGTTAGGTAAATTAAGATCACCCAGTGAGATAATATCTGGATAAAGATTTAAAGGCAGGCCTGTTTTATTCCAAAGTCAACCCTTTTGCTATCCTATGGCAAATTACAGAACACGGAGAAGGGGATATCGCAGTTTAGGAGGAAGAATAACCTCCTTTCTAGGGTGAGATGGATCAGAAAAAGTTCTGTAAAGGATCAGCAAAGGCACTACAATACCAGAGGTGCATGGTTCAAATCCACCAGATGCTTTGCTGGAGAAGGAGGGACAATCTCCTTCTGTACCAGTCAGATCTGATTTGACGGTACACACACACAAAATAATAATAATTTTTAAAAGGATCAGCAAAAGTGGGAAGAAAGGACATTCCAGGCAAGCCTATCAAGAAAGGCAATGGGGGAAAAAAGAGAAGGGGGGAAAAGCCAATTCCACAGACTAATGGACTAATTGAGAATGAGAGGAATAAAATAAGACTGAACAGAAACAAGCTTGAGTCAGAGGCGCCAGAGCTGTGGAGGACCACCAGGAAGTTGAGCCTTTGTGCAGTGAGCAGCAAGTAGCCACCATGGGTCTCCAGACCTCAAGTAACCATGCTAGCTCCGCTCTAGACACATAGCTGCGGTGGGAAATGGATGGAAGGGAACCCCTCGACAGGAGGACTGGCTAGGAAGCTTCCCACCATCCTAGGGAGAGGGCTCCCACGAGAGTAATAGCGCTGGGTGGGGGTAAGAGCAGAGATTCTAGAGACTTTGGGAAGTGTAGGCCCGTTGCTAAGAGGTCCAGGGTAGACATGAGTGTGTGTGTATATGTGTGTACCAGAAGATGAGGAATGAATGACTTTTGAACATGCTGGGTTTGCGGCCGGCCCCTGAGTGCATTCATTCAGTAAGCTTTAAGTGTCTATGACTTACCAAGTCCTTCTCTACGCTGGTCAAAGGCTGAAACCAAGTCCCTGCCTGCATAGATCTTTCCGTTTAGTCAGTAGAGATGGGCAGTAGACTGATAAGTATGAGCTGTGGAAGTAGTAGAAAAATAGGCATTGTAGAGCTACCCAGTAGAGAGATGGAAATGGAAGGGCTAAACTCAGGAAGGAGTTAGAGATGAATGGTGTGTCTCCAAAGAATGCCTGCTCCAAGGTGCCCTGTACCCATTTGTCTTCTATTCATGGGATGGGCTGGAAAGTTGAAGACCAATGAGCCTGTCTTCTCATCCCCTAGGTCACCATCCTAAATGGCTCAGACATCCGATCCCTCTACAACTTCTCAGGGGAACAGGTGAGGACATGCTTCATTGTGGCCTTCTGACACCCAAACCCCAGCCTGATCCAGCACCCCCAGCCCAACCTCCCAGGGGGTCTCTGAACTCCCTTCACAATGCCATTTGCTCCAGTATCTTGACTCAGAGCTACCCATGTGTCTTCCCAGATGGCCTCCTACTTCGGCTACGCAGTGGCTGTCACAGACATAAATGGGGATGGGTGAGTAGTGTGAACAGGAAGGGCAGACCACATAACCTTCTCAGGAGGAAGTAGGGTAGACAATGTAAGAAGTAGTTTTCTCAGTGTTGCCAAAACCTCTCACTTAGGTAGGAGAGACCCTGAGGTCCAGTATGTCTGGGATTTTCGGGCACTATGACTGGGGGATTGGTGGCAAGGTGGGGTAACTGGACACCTATGTTTTGCACCTACCCCTAGGCTGGATGACCTGCTGGTTGGGGCACCCTTGCTCATGGAGAGGACAGCTGATGGGCGGGCCCAAGAGGTGGGCAGAGTTTATGTCTACCTGCAGCACCTAGATGGCATGGAATCCTCGCCCACCCTTACCCTCACCGGCCATGACGAGTTTGGCCGATTTGGCAGCTCCTTGACCCCCCTAGGGGACTTGGACCAGGATGGCTACAATGGTAAACATGGACTCTGGAAGCTATGGAAGAGTCAGGGGGTGAACCAAAGTGCGTTTTGTGGGGAGGGAGTGTGACTGTCACCTAAGACCTCCCGATGACTTTAATCTCAATATCTGGGTATTTGGGATTGAAATATGTGGGAAGCAGAGTACTAAGGTCTGATGGTAGAGATTTGGACCCCTGGATTCGTGGACTTCTGATTGCTGTGTGTGTGTCTTGCAGATGTGGCCATTGGTGTCCCTTTTGGTGGGGAGACGCAGCAAGGAGTGGTGTTTATATTCCCTGGGGGGCCAGAGGGGCTGGGCTCTAAGCCCTCCCAGGTTCTGCTGCCCCTATGGGCAGCTGGCCACACCCCAGACTTCTTTGGCTCTGCCCTCCGAGGAGGTCGAGACCTTGATGGCAACGGATATCCTGGTGAGTTGTGCCTGTGCCTAGGATTCCTTTCACCTTAGATTCCCTGGTCACAGATGCCTGCACCCCACCCCCTCGGCACCTTTTCCAGCCCTTCAAACTGGGTGCAGGTCTTAGACTAGGACCACCAGGTGGCACTATTGCCTTCCTGCAATCCCCTTAAGCAATGGAACTAGGTCAGAAACATTAGAAAGGGTTTAGTTAGGAAGGAAGGATCCTAACGTAGGGGTTGGTGTCGGGGATGATTTCTTGACTTTTTGCAGATCTGATTGTTGGGGCCTTTGGTGTGGACAAGGCTGTAGTATACAGGTATGAACTCAGGGGCCGCCCGGGGCAACTGGGGGATTTCTCAAGAGCGCTGAAGTCGGGAAGCAGTACAGAGGCTCCTGAAGTGCTGGGTTCCTGTGTCCAGGTTACAGGGGGTCTTACATCTGTCTGTGTGACATCTACACATCACAGGGGCCGCCCCATCGTGTCTGCCAGTGCCTCTCTCAACATCTTCCCTGCCATGTTCAACCCAGAGGAGCGCAGCTGTAGCTTGGAGGGAAACCCTGTGTCCTGGTGAGCTTACATTCAAGAAATCACAGAGACCTGAGTCTGAGAGCAGTGGGGGACCACATCTGTCTGTAAAAAGGGGCGGGGGGGGCCCACACTGCAAATCTGGAGGCATTCAGTCCAAATCCATCAGCTGCTCCATGGGATAAAGATCGGCAGTCTCCTGTGTGATTAACTGCCTTTGGAAACCCACCAGAGGGTCTGCTATGGGTCCGTTCCGCCGCAGCAACATACTACAGCAACAATGGGGATGTTGTGGCTTGGGTGTAGCCGGGAAGTAGGTGGAAGACAGGAAGGATCCCTGAGGTGCTGGGGCTTGAACGCTAGGTTCCTCTGTCCAGGGCAGCCCAGGCTGGATGTCGCTGGGAAGGAGGTGGATGATAGAGTACCCGTTTCAGTTGGGCTCACCAGCTTTCCTCTTGGTCTCTCTGCAGCATCAACCTCAGCTTCTGCCTCAACGCTTCTGGAAAACATGTCCCTGACTCCATTGGTGAGGGAAACTGCTTTGGTCTGTCAGGCACTGGGACTGGGCTAGGGGCCTGGGTACTTCCTTCCCTTCTCTCTGGATGGATGAGGAGGGAGAGCATCCTGACAGGCCTCCCCCTGCAGGCTTCACCGTGGAGCTCCAGTTGGACTGGCAGAAGCAGAAGGGAGGAGTGAGGCGGGCCCTGTTCCTGGCCTCCCAACAGGCCACACTGACCCAGACTCTGCTCATCCAGAATGGGGCTCGAGAGGACTGCAGAGAAATGAAAATCTACCTCCGGGTATGGCCCTGGTCACAGTAGGCTGAGAACTGGCCAGGGAGGGTGACCACCCCCCAAGCAAGGGCTGGGGTCTCTGATGGGCCTGAGGAAGGGTGCCCTCTGTAAGGAGAGCTGGGAGCAGGGCGCCAAAACAAACAGAATGGTCAAATTTGGATTTGGCTTCTTTCGGACCTGTATGGACAGAGGGAGGAGCAAGAGACTTGGGCCAGGCCACCAAGTCCTCAGAGTCCCCTGACTATGCATCCTCTCCCCTGGCCCCAGAATGAGTCCGAATTTCGAGACAAACTCTCCCCAATTCACATCGCCCTCACCTTCTCCCTGGACCCCCAAGCCCCTGTGGACAGCCACGGCCTCCAACCTGTCCTACATTACCAGAGCAAGAACCGGATAGAGGACAAGGTAAGGACAGGGATGAAAGGAGGAACCCAGAAGGAAAGAGGTGATGCCGTGGAGAGGGGAACCTACAGCCAAAGACGGGGATCCAAGTTCCCCACTCAAGACTGCCCCATTCCCCAGGCTCAGATCTTACTGGACTGTGGAGAGGACAACATCTGTGTGCCCGACCTACAGCTGGAAGTATTTGGGTGAGTGGGGGCTGACATTACACCAGAAGTTCTGTGTGCTTAGGTCTCGTAGCAGGACAGGCAGGACCTGGAAGCAGGAAAAGTATAGGCACAACCACACAAGCTGCACTGAGAGTGACTAGCTGTGTGGTCTTGGGAATTACTGAAATTCTTTGTGCTTCTGTTTCTTCACTTGTGTAGTGGGAATAATAGCTTCTGTTTCCCTGAGACATAAAGCATCTAGTTTACTGCCTGCCAAACAGTTGAAACTCAGTAAATGGTGTCTAATATTACTATGAGCTTATGCCGGTGTCTAGTGGGTAAAGAGATGCACTGCCAGTACAAAGGCAAGCAGTTCAAATTCACCTGCTGATCTGCAGAAGAAAGAGAGGCAATCTCTTCCCATCTATTTACTGACTCTCAAAACCCCCGGAGTGTCAGCTACGAATCATTGCAACTTGATGGCATGCAGCAGCAACATTATTACTGTATTGTCACCATGATTCCAGCACATTGTCCTAGTTTGGAGATTAATTCTTCAGAGTCCCTTATGCCATGTGACCTCTGAACCATCCCCTCTAGGGAGCAGAACCACGTTTACCTGGGTGACAAGAATGCCCTGAACCTAACTTTCCACGCCCAAAACGTGGGTGAGGGCGGCGCTTATGAGGCCGAGCTTCGGGTCACGGCCCCTCCAGAGGCAGAGTACTCCGGACTCGTCAGACACCCAGGGGTGAGAGAGGGCTCTCTGGTTGGGTTTGGAAAAGCTGCAGGAGACTTACCAGAGGAAAAATATCCAAGTCTTAACTGCACCCTCCCCACCTCCAGAACTTTTCCAGCCTGAGCTGCGACTACTCTGCTGTGAACCAGAGCCGCCTGCTGGTGTGTGATCTGGGCAACCCCATGAAGGCAGGAGCCAGTGTAAGTGTGGGAGAGATGGCCTGAGACTGACCAGGGAAGACTGGACTAGGAAAGGTGGGTTGTAAGTGAGGAGAAGCAGGCACCCAATCTAATAATCCCACTCTTTTCCCCCATCCTGCAGCTCTGGGGTGGCCTCCGGTTCACAGTCCCTCATCTCCGGGACATGAAGAAAACCATCCAGTTTGACTTCCAGATCCTCAGGTAGGGAGTGAGTGGGGCAGCTATGCAGGGGGCAGGCCAGGCGGTGGCTGAGCCTCCAGCACCACTCAGTTCTCACCTCCATTTCACAGCAAGAATCTCAACAACTCCCATAGCGACGTAGTCTCCTTCCGGCTGTCTGTGGAGGCTCAGGCCCAGGTGTCCCTGAATGGGTCAGTATCAGGCCTTTATGGGGCCTATTTAGGAGGGAAGAAAACACATGAGTCCCTTGCATTCTCTTCTCAATCACCTTCCTCCTTAGTGTCTCCAAGCCAGAGGCCGTGCTCTTCCCAGTCGGTGACTGGCATCCCCGAGAGCAACCTCAGGAGGAGGGACACGTGGGTCCTGCAGTTCACCATGTCTACGAGGTGAGGAGGGAAAGAAGCAGAGAAGACTGGGTTCTGGGCAGATGGGAGGATGTGGAGCAGAGAATAAGAAGGAGGAGCTAGTATGAGTGACAGATGACTGGGCCCATAGGGAAGGGAGAGAAGCCCAGGAAGGAGGGCTAATGGGTGATAAGGAAAGGCACAGGGGAGGGACAGTGTGGGAATAGTAGGTGGAGTTGGGAAGGAAAGACAGAGGCTCTGCTCAGGAGGGCTAGCTGGAGAGTAATATTCTGCCTTCAATTCCCTGATTCCCCCTCCTCACTCCTCCCTCACACCAGCAGGGTGCAGTGACTCAGGATATCAACGGGGCAAGACCACCTTCCCTCCTCCTGATGGTGTGCTCTCTCCTCCCTAGCTCATCAACCTAGGCCCCAGCTCCATCAGCCGGGGCATCCTGGAGCTCAGCTGCCCCCAGGCCCTGGAAGGCCAACAGCTGCTCTACGTGACCAGGGTTACAGGACTCAGCAACTGCACCACTAGTCACCCCCTCAACTCACACAGCCTGGAGGTGAGGGGCCTGGAGACTGGTATAACTGGGAGAGCCTGGAAGTAGAGGTTTGGAAAAAGGCTCTTGATGCCTGGAAGAGCCAATGAGGATGTGTCATAGCGAGGACTGAGGCCACAGAAAGGTCAGAAGACCCACAGCTTCCTCAGGGTTCTGGAAAGGAAGAAGCCTCTTTTTATCTAGTGTAATTCTGTCTTTTTGCCTGGAATTGCCATCTTTTATTTCTTATCCCAGGATATTTTTGGGGTCTAGTTCCATGCCCCCTCCTCTGAAGAGCCTTCTTCAGGCCTGTCCCTTAGGACTACAGTGCCTGGGGTTTTTTATGTTTATGTATTTATTAATAGTGTTTTGTTAAATGAGTGTCTATGCTGAGCACTTCCATAAGCTCAGGGACTATCTCACTGAATAAAACCAGCAACATATTTACTCTCATGGAAGGAAGGACTTAGATAATATAAAATTATAGAAACTAACTGGCAGTGAAAAGTGATGAATGTGCAGTGCTGTTGAAGGACTGGGGCCAGGCCTGTGTGAGGTGAGTGACCAAGGAAATCCTCTTGTGAAAGTAAAGCTGAACTGAAGCCTGAAAGACAAGGATAAACTTACCTGTAAAACCAGTGCAAAGGCCCTGGGGCAGGAATAAGGGCTTATTAATTTCTTCATCTCGATGTTCTCTCTCCATGTTAACTCCAGGGACCATGTTTTATTCATTTCCATATTTCAGTGCTCAACTAAGTGTCTTGCACATAGGAGGTGATGGGCCATACGAACCAATGAAGAGATGGAGAAAAAAAAAGGTTGAAGGTGCAGGCTAATATGGATAGAAGCTGTAAGAGCTAGGAGAGGGAGTCCACCCAACCCTTTTCTCTTGCAGCTGGATCCTGAGGGTTCCCAGCACCACCACCTGCAAAGAAGGGAGGCCCCAGGCCGGAGCCCTGCCTCCTTGGGGCCTCAGATCCTGGTAAGTTGTGTTAGGAATGAGGTCTGTGCCCGCCCAGGCTTTGAGAATACATTCTCAGACTCCACCAAAAGGCGGAATCTCAAGTACAAGATTCCACTTTCTCCCCACCTTTCTCTTCCCAGAAATGCCCAGAGGCTGAGTGTTTCAAGCTGCGCTGTGAGCTAGGCCCACTGCATCGGCAAGAAAGTCGAAGTCTGCAACTTCATTTCCGAGTCTGGGCAAAGACCTTCCTACAGGTGAGGTCGCCTCACCTCAGCCCTGACACCTGACCTTTGGCCCTGACTAGGCTGGCTTTCTCCTTTCACCATTGCTCTAGGTACTTTAGTGAATTGGCCCTCTGCATTCTAGTGTCCTTCTCTCACACTCTGTCTCAACTGGGTTATGTGGTCCTCGCGCCATCTCGTGGTCACACTGGAGACTACAGTTTCTTGTTCCATTCTTTTTTTTTTTCCATTTAAAAAAGGGGATAGCAACCCAAGAATGATAGAAATTCACAGGGAAGAATCAAGCAGACATAAGAATAGCAAAAGCACCTCTTTATTAATGAATACTATGGGCCATCCAGAAATTTTCCTGGATGGTTAACCCACATTAATAATTGAAAGAAAATCTTGAAAATGCATTTATCTAACTATGCATTATATAAGAGAAATCTGATGGCCTAGTGGTAAAAAAATGCTGCAGTCCCAAAGCCATGTGGTTCAAATCCACCAGCTGCTCTGAAGAAGGATGGACAGTCTCCTCCTGTTTAATTAACTGCCTCTGAAAACCCACTGGAGGATTAGCTATGGGTTGGTTCCAACTCAGTGGTACACAACAACAACAATGGCCTAGTGGGTAGAGAGTTGCGCTGTCAACCCAAAGATGGGTGATTTGAATACACCAGCTGCTCTGCAGGAGAAAGATGGGCTGCTCCTCCATACAAAAAGGGACTATAAATTAAATAATTGTGTTATAATTATTCAACTACATGTTTATTATCCCATATCAGGTATATAGATTCAGAAGAGAGTGAATCCAAAATAGGGCCAGCAAAAGCAGACCATGGGGAACCCCATGTACCCTAGACTCCAAGAGGGAGTGTGCTGACTGTCTTGTCCCCCACTCACAGCGGGAACACCAGCCATTTAGCCTGCAGTGTGAAGCCGTGTATGAAGCCCTGAAGATGCCCTACCGGATCCTGCCACAGCAGCTACCTCGAAAGGAACTTCAGGTGAGTCCTGGCTCAGAGTTACTGGGCTCAGAGCTCTGGACTTGGCACAAGGGCGGGGACACAGATGGGGCGAGCTTGATGTCTTAACAAGTATTTACTGAGCATCTGCTATGTGCCTGGCACTGTGCTTGGTGCTAGAGACACAGTGGTAAGCAAGACCTACACTGTGTCTTCTATCCTGGAGGTCACAGTCTAATAATGAGCACTGACAGCAGTGTGACAAAGTGCCACTGTGTTTATAGGGACGCATCATAAGGGAACCTGAACTCAATTCTCCAAGGGCGGGGAATGCTTCCTGGAAGAAGGGATGTTAATGTAAGACCTTAAAATAAATAGGAACTAACCAGGCTAACTGGAGCTCCATTGGCCAAGTGATGAGAAACTGTGCTGCCGACTAAAAGGCACACGGTTCAGATCTACCAGCTGCTCCACAGGAAAAATGGACAGTCTCCTTCTATGTGATTTACTGCCTCTGAAAACCTTCTGGGAGGTCAGCTATGAGTTGGTGGTATTCAACAACAATCAGGCTATCAGTTAGGAAGAGAATAGCATGTTACGGCCCAAAAGTAAGAGATCATATTGCACGTTTTAGGAACGGAAATTTTTTTTTTTTTTTAGGAACTGAAATTTTTAAATTCAAAATTCTGTTAGCCAAAAATGGAAGGTTGAGGGAAGAGGGTCTAGATCCAGTGGTAAATAGAGGCAAAGTATAAAGTGGGAAGAACTTCTGGGTTTTCAGAGATCTCACCTCAACTTGCTCCCTAGGTGGCCACAGCCGTGCAGTGGACGAAGGCAGAGGGCAGCCATGGTGTCCCACTGTGGATCATTATCCTAGCCATTCTCATTGGCCTCCTGCTCCTAGGTCTGCTCATCTACATCCTCTACAAGGTTAGCTATATTCTGCCCTTGACTTGGACATCAGCATAGCCCCACATGTCCACCCACAGACTATCTAGTCACATGGTTCAACTCTGCTCTGGAACGTGCATCCTGTCAGACCCTGCCTATAACAGCCCACACTTCAGTCTGTATTCCTTATCTTAGAGTCTCTTGCCTCAAGCTGGTAAGTTTTTCATACTTCCAAAAACAATATAACTTACCAAGGGCAAATATTTGGCTTATTACTGTCACTTCCCTCCCATAACAACCATTACTAGTTAGAAATAGCTTCAGATTCTGGCACTTGAATTCAAATCTATTTGCCTTTCCCAGCTTAATTGGGGGCATTTTTATGACACTAGGAAAAGACCTCCCCCTGTCCCATAAAACCCCTTAGCTCTAGGCCTTCTGGGCCATTGGTTGGGCCTGCAGTGGGGTCATCTTGGCAGCCTGAATTCAAAGGCCAATTATTTAGGATAGGTAGACAGAGACACTAGAGCTCTTCTCAATCTCTCTTGAGATAAAAGCAAACTAGAAATGGGAAGCAGGGTATCTAAACTCTTTTTCTTTCTTTTTTTTTTAAAAAAAAAACAACTCTTTTTCTTCTCTGAATTAGCTTGGATTCTTCAAACGCTCTCTCCCATATGGCACCGCCATGGAAAAAGCTCAGCTCAAGCCTCCAGCCACCTCTGATGCCTGATCCCAGACTCCCAAACCTGAAGGCCCAGTCCTCCCCACACCCCAGTCTGCTGACAGAGAGGGGGTTGGGCACTTCTGAAGGTGCTGAGGGCCAGGGAGAAGCTTCTCTCCCTGGCCCAGAGACATACTTGAAGGGCCAGAGCCAGGGGGCAAGGAACTGGGGACCGCCCCCAGTGCACTGTGAAGGACCCTCGTTTACACATGCCCTCCTCACAGATGAGGGAACTCGGATCCAGGGAAAGCGGTCTCAGCCTCCCTGCAGTCTTTGCATTTTGGAAAGTTCTCTGAAAACAACTTGGAACCATAGCCAGGGAACTCATTCTCAGTTCTCTGGGCTTGACCTGCCACCAAGACTTCCTGTCTAGCCCCAACCTGCAAAGATCTGCCATTGGCCTTGACAGAGACTCAGAGGAAGCTCCAGCCAAGAACCTGGAACCTGGGGAGTAAACCCTGGCAGCTCTGGAGAGTCCCCATCCTGGTGGGCTAACAAGGAACTCTAACCATGAATGGTGCCCCAGGGCCAGCTCAGGGCAGATCCCAAACAAGGACTGATGGTGGCCCAGAACCCAGTTCCAGGAGGAACTAGAACTCAGATGGCATCAGATCTAACCTGTGGCCTACCGCTGATCCAGGACCCTGACCCAGACTGCTGGGAACCTAATAAGGCAGAGATCTAAGACTGCATTTGGACCTGGAGGCTCAGTCTAACCCTGATTCAGGAGAATCAGAAATTGCCCAGGACCCTGAAGGAGCCATGATGGCAACAGATCTTGAACCTCATACTGGCCAGACACAGGCCCTCCCAGTTCCCCTCAAGAAAAGGGAGCTTACTGTCCTGGGCTCAAAGAATTTGGGTTCTGCCCACCAGCTGCACTGACACTGCCCCTTCCTTCCCTGCCAACCTTCCCCTCACCTTGGCTCCAGGACTCCTGGGACTTATTTAAGCTCTGTTGCAAGTGCAATAAACCCAGCCTGGGGTTCCCAATGATCAGAGATGGAATCTGCTGTCTTTATACCCCACTCTTTCCAAATCCAGGCTGGTGTCAGATGGCTTGATGGGAAGGAGAGGCCTGTGTTGCTCACAGGTTCTTTCCACTAGGAGCCAGGAGCGTGAACCTCAAAAACTAAGGAGGAGTGATGGGAAAAGATAAGGAAGATTTGTGCCCTCTGCCTATCACCCACTCCTTACCAGGTCTAGTCCAACACTCCCAAGGGCAAGGAGATAGAAATCTGTTCTCAGGATTCTCAGATCAGAGAAGAAAGGGCCCAGGTTGGAGTCATCTGGGCTTTTCTGAATCAGAATCATTTAGGAGGAAGCTGGTGATGACCCATGAAATTAGTTGCCAGAAAAAGCTGCAGAACTACTATGTTTTCAGGTATAAGGTGCACGTAGAAATAACGTGCTGTAGCACCTATAACACAGACAGTGCACATAGGAAGCTAGCACATATTTTGTTTTGCAAAATATGTATAATGGGCACAATTATCCCATGGTAAATTAGGGACAAGAAAGCCAATTAGGCTTTTGTTTTAATGCTATCATCAATAATACTCTAAAGTGGTTACTATTAACTCTAGTTTCACAAGGAGAAACTGAGTTCCAGAAAGGATGGGTACATAGCATTCCCAAGATCACAGTAAGTGACAGCAAAACTTAGCCGTGCCTGACTCTGAAAGGCCTCATCCCTAACATGTCACAGGGTTCGATGCAAAGTGGGGTAGCCCTTTCAGTTCTGTGTTCCTGATGCCCATCTAAGAGCACCTCTAAAGGAAGCACACTGTTGTTAGGTGCTGTTAAACAGACTGACGCAAAGCGACCTTATGTACAATGGAACACAGCTCTGTGCCATCCCCATCAGATGTGGTGCCCATTGTGGTTTGGGTTTTTTTTTTAAGTTTTTTTTTTTTGTTTTTTAAATTTTGTGTGAGTGTACCGTCAAATCAGATCTGACTGGTACAGGAGAAGATTGTCCCTCCTTCCCCAGCAGAGCATCTGGCGGATTCGAACCGTGCGCCTCTGGGATTGTAGTTGCAGCTCCTTGCCACTAGGCCACCAGAGCTCCCTTGTGGTGTCCATTGTTGTAGCCATAGTGTCAATCCATGTCTTTTAGGATCTCCCTCTCCCACTGACCTTTACCAAGTAAAATGCTTTTCTCCAGGGACTGGTCTCCTGAAAATGTGTCCAAAAGTATCCGAGACCAAGTCTCAATATCTTCCCTTCGAAGGGAGCATACCCACTGCCCTCAAGTTGATTCCAGCTCCTGGTAGCCTCCCATTGATGCTTTTCCAAGGCACTAGATCTTTACAGGAGCAGACTGCCCATCTTGCTCCCACAGAGTAGCTGCAAGATTTGAACCACTGACCTTTAGTTAGAAGCCTTACATGTTATACAATATGCCACCGAGTTAGTTCCAACTTATGGTGATGTGTCTGGTTTCTGAGCCTGTAAATCATAATGGGAGGAGACTGCCCATCTCTCTCCCATCGAGCTCCTGGTGAGTTTTAACTGCCAGAAAGTACAGCTTTTAGGGAGCACTCGTGGCCTAGTGGCAAGAAGCTGCACTACAATCCCAGAAGTATGTGGTTTGAATCCACCAGATGCTGTGCTGGAGAAGGAGGTATAATCTCCTCCTGTACCTGTCAGGTCCAGTTTGACGGTACACACACACACACACACAAATAAAAATTAAAAACAGCTTTTGGGTTAACAGCACAATCAACTAGTAACTGTGTCACGAAAGCCGAACTTCTGTTGAGTATCGCATGGAGATTGTCCATCTTTTTCCCACAGTGTGGATTCACACTGCCAGAAGTGTTACCTTTGAGTTAACAGTGTAATTCCCTACAGACTAAGCCACCAAAGCTTCCTAAAGGAAGCATTATTATTGTTAGGTGCCAAAGAGTACTGGACTCAACAGCAATTCAGTGAACAACAGATCTGAACTCTGTCCTATCCTGTGCCACCTTCACAATCTCCAGTACCCTCAAGCCTAATGCTGCAGTCAGTGTGTCTATCCACCTGGCTGAAGGTCTTCATTTCCTTTGCCAACCCTCCACCTACCCATGCATCATAAAAGGGTGTTGAAATTATAAATGGTGGCTGGCGGCAGTTGTCCTCCTCAAGCTTTATCAAAATTCAGCCACAAGAGGGCAGTATAGTCACAAATTTATTGGCCTTTTGGGAACTAGGTTATGAGGTTCACCTCACCCTTGTTCCTGATCACCAGAGCTATTATTTCTTTTCTTGCTTTTATTCTTTTTAACTCAAGATGTCACATTATATTACCTTCATCACCTGAACAAGACTTCACACACTGTGACTTAATAAGTACCTCAGAAACTTCCCAGAACTCATAAATTAAGAAGCTCTCTTTTTTTTTATTTGTGTGTGTGTGTGTGTGATCTTTTTTTTATTTGTGTGTGTGTGTGTGTACCGTCAAATTCGATCTGACGTACAGGAGGCGATTGCCCCTCCTTCTCCAGCAGAGCATCTGGTGGATTTGAACCATTCACCTCTAAGATTGTAGTGCAGCTTCTTGCCACTAGGCCACCAGAGCTCCCTAAATTAAGAAGCTCTTACAGAGAGGAGACATAAAGTCACCCAGTCAGTATTGCTAAGATGGTGCTTGTAGCATAAAACTCATTAATTCATGGCTGTCAAGTTGGAACCAGCCCATAACTGAGGCTCCACTGGGTTTCTGAGGCTGTAAATAGCACGGGAGAAGATTGCTCATTTTTCTCCCTCAGAGATGCTGGTGAATTTGAACCATCAGAGAGGTGCGACTTTGGGGTTAGCAGTGCGGCTCCATAAAGACTAGGCCACCAAAGTTCCTCTGTAGCATAAAAAATGTGGAATTCTCAAGGAAGGAAATAGCATACATTCTCCAAAAGCAGTTCCACCTCTTAGGGACAGGAGGAAGGTGACAGCAGACAAATTCCAAAGGCCACATCTGAGATTTCTTTCACTGCTGTGAGGAAGAGAACATGAGGCGAGGAAGTTGGCTGTGAATACTTCCTCTGAACTGGTGTCATCGGTGTGTGTCTATACTACCTGTACCTGTGAGTCTCACAGTGACATTCCCCCATAAGGACGTATAATACAGAAAGGGAACTGCTGGCTCAGAAATGGCATCTCATACCTGCTTTTCTGTCCCTAAGCTGAGTTTCCCAGATTCTCTGGTTTTTGTTTTTTCTCCTGTCTTCCAGCACTTCAGAGCAAGGGTGCCTTTTACAAAGTGATCCAAGGGAACATGAGGTGAGGGCCTAAAAGGTCTAAGCACTATCCTTGACTATGTATTCAGAGATGGCAAAAAGGCAAAGGCGGGCAGGAGGCCCCAGGAAGAGAGCAGAGCAGCTGGGGGGTACTGGGAGGGGGAGGGGGCTCAAGAGAGGCAGCTGGCAAGCGGGAAGCTGATCTGGGGGGTCTCAAGTTTCTTGACATCAATTAGAGCAGCCAGCCTGGGCTCATTAGTAGCCCGGGGTGCAGGACTCATCAATAATGAATTCACCCCACACACTGCCCCCCTCAGCTTCCTTCAAGGTCACCCCACCCTCCAACCAGCTGCCTCCTCTCAGTAAACTAAGTAACCCCTTTTCTGAAGCCCCTATCTCAGGGTCTCTTAAGAGCACTGAGGGAGGGTAGACAAAGGACTGAGGGCAAAGGGGTCTCTGTCACTGATCAATCAAGTTTCCCTTGGCATCTATCCAAGGAGGACAAACAATGCAAAAAAGAACTGAGGACTGTGGCTGAGGGTAGATACTGAATTTTCATTTACTGGGAGTAAGTGGGATCTGGAGCAAAAGCTCATCTGAAGAGTCCAGAGACCCCCATGTCCTGCCCAAAAGTCAAACTTGGTCAGCAAGGTCACAGTCCCCAGGGATCTCTGAGTTTCAGGTTCAGATCAAGATGATGGCATTGACACCCCCAGCAGTTTGCCCTTGAGCCAGAGCTGGCCTGGCAGGTGCAAAAACAGTTCTTGCCTTCATACCAGATCAATGAGGTGAGGACAAGAGATTGCTGGGGCCCAGAAACTTGAACACACTCTTTCTGTGCCTTAATTAAATTTCTAGTACCAGTACCGTCTTCCAGAACTTAGGAAGGCCAGGCCCCTGTTTCCTAGGCTCCAGTCCTGCATCCTTCCACTGACTTCTGCCTCCACCTTCCCCAAATCTCACTGTATTTCCTAGACAACAACCCCTTCCCCTCTGGCTACTTGGCACTCTGGGAAAGCTGCCCATTGCCCTCCCTCTTGGGGCGGGTACCTACAGGTCCCAGGCTAGGGGAGTGGCATCGTCCCCAGATGCTTTGCAGGTGGCCTCCCAGATTCCGTGCAGCCTGGTACTGGAGTCTCGGGTGACCTTCATTTAAGTCCTCCTGTTGGCCCTTAGCACACTTCCAAGTATCTTGTCATCTCCTTCCTCCACATTGTCCCCAGCCTTTGTCCTGCCCTCTGTACCCCTCTCACCTCTCCAGCCAGTCCTCCTAGGACCCAGGTCCTGCCCACATTTGTGAGGAATGCCTGAGGTTGAGGCTTTGGGTGGCTGCACCCTACCCCCATTCAGGTCATCTCTGCAAGGTTGTTCCTCGGTTCTCATCTTCTGTCATCTTCCTAATGATCTCAGTTGCAAGCTTCTATTTTCACCTCCTCAGACTCATTGATTGCAGACTGTTCACCCAGCCCTTCCCTAAGGGCAGACATTCAGATTCCAGCACCAGGAAATAACCTAGAAGCCATCTTCAGCCCCACTTTTTACCTCTGAGACCAGCCTCCCAGGCATCCTGCTCCAAAGCCGGAGACACACACATTTAGGATCTGCCCCTTGGCCCCTTCCCAGCCCCACAGGCACTCCTGAAGGGACTTAGAAGTCCAATCCGGACGCCATCCTTCCCTCAGACGACCGAGGCATGTCCCCCCACCCAGGCTGTGGCACCAGACTTCCTACCCTCAGACCCTGCGGAGCCAGGCATCTTCGTCTGCACTTCCCTTCATTACCTCACCCCGTCTTCTAGAGGTCATGTCCCCCCAGCCCTGAGCGCAGTGCCACAGTCAGTCCCGGGGACCCGCGGCGGGCGGGAAGGGCAGGAGAGGGCCCGACGCCGCCAGGACGCCCCCTCCTGGAGCCCGCGGGCCGCGTCCCCCTCCTCCCGTCTTCACCTGCTGAGGGCCCCGCCCCCGCTCCGCCTGGGCCGGCCTCTGCTCCGCCCCCGACTCCTCCCCCCGTACCCCCAGCCCAGCCAGAACGGCCCCCGGGACAGAGCGACGCGGAACCCCGGGCGCCTGGGTCCCCAGCATGATCCTCGGTGAGTGGGCTCTGCGGCTCCAGGCTCCAGGCTCCTGGGTCGCTCTCAGTGGGTCACCCCCCCTCCCGGCACCGCGGTGACTGCGGCCGCCCGTCAGCGATGGCTTTCCCCTCCCCCTTCATCTGGCTCCACATCTGGGGTCCCCGAGTCCCCTCTTCCCTAAACTGCTGTTTCTCCCGGTAATCTAGGGAATGGTAAGGGGGGAACGCAGAGCGGAGTGAGACCCCCGCCCCATAATCAGAACATTGCATATTCATTAGCCTCATGAATATTATATGAAGTCTACGAGAAACTGGGGGAGGGGGCAGGTCCTGGCCTGGTGGAGTTGGGGGAGAAGAGCTGACCCGTCCTTCCCCCACCCTCAGCTTAAACACTCCGACATCCTTCTGGGCCCAGGATAAGGGGGAAAGGAGGAAGGGGTGGGGGTAGGTGGTGGGTGTAGCTTCGAGGTGTGTGTGATAGGAGGTAGGACTGGTGGTAAGGGGGCTAGAGAGAAGAGGGGGTGGGAAACTGTCCACCTTAGGGCCCCTGCGGCTCAGATCCTGCCTCCGCAGCCATCCTGCCCTGACACGCCGGGACCTGCCCTCCCTCCTTGCTGTGGCTGTCTGGGCCCTTCCACCCAGTCTTCCTCTCCCATGCCCGCCCCCTGTCTTGGGTTAGGGGGCGCTGGGGGAAGGAGGGGAGATAGGGAGAGTAAGTTGGGGGAGGGGAACTCCTGCTGGGCTCTGACAGCCCGTCAGCCACAGCCACCCCATCCTCATGACCTACATCGGGAAGGGAGCCCTGGGGGTGGGGGAGGAGAGGGCCTAGCTGTGCGCTGGACTCCGCATCAGCTCAGGCTCCAGGCCCTGTGCCCTCCGACCTGCCTCCAAAATAGTCCACAGGCTTGCTCTGACCTCTGACCTCTGCCCTTTGCCCTTGCTGGGCTGGTTCCTAGACCCTGTTTATGGTGAGAGCCCTCCCACCCACCAGGCCTAGACACCTGTGGTCTCCCCGCCCTCTTCTGAGGACACCTGGCTCCAAGCTGGTGCCCCAGGGCCTGACTGGCTCCACCCGCATCACTTCGCTGAGCCCCTCTGCTTTTTGAAGTCCCCTTTTCCTAGTCAGCCCCCTTTTCTTTCTTCTTTCATTTGATGCCTCCTGCAACTGACATCCCACGAGCAGTCTCTCTCCTTTTTCGCTTTCCCTCCAGCTCCCTCTCTCTCCTTCTCCTTGCTCTCATCACTTTACTTCTCCCCCACTTTGACCAAAGATGTCAATTAAATGAATGAATGAATGAGGAAAAGAAGAAAGAATGCCTGGCTGCCTTCTCCTTCTCAAGAATATCTCTAGTAGGGACCATAAACCCACCCTAGAGTGACCACTGGCAACCTTAGATCAGCTCCCCCCCCAACACAGGATCTACATTTCTCTAACCTATGTGATCCCTGCACCCCGGCTCCACCCTGAGCATGGGCCCCACCCTGGGCAATAGCTCCAGAGACAGTGTCATACTTGTCCAGAACAGGTCTGTGTGAGACACGTATCTACTAGTCAATAGGCCCTAAGAGGACATCTGAAGGCCCCAGCCACAAACCTTTATCCAAATTCTCTTAAATTGGAAACCCATCACCAATTGGACCTCCCACCACATCTCCCTGAAGAACATTATAATTAACTCTTCTCTTGTGCCAAACCCACAGAGGATAGGCAACCAGGTGGGGATCTCATACCTTAGCCCTCTTTGAGGAAGAAAGGAAGTGATGAAACTGCCTGCCAGGGCTCTGGCCTAATTCTCTGGATCTGTCCTAAGATTCTAAATGCCGCAAACTACTGAGTCCAAGTGCATGTGGCCCGAGAGGGGCCGTGCAGTGGCTCCTCCCTTGTTGAAACTCTGGGCCTCAGGTTTAAGATAGGGGGCTTTCTGCCCAGGATTTGCCTTCTGACCCTATCTATAGCCTCTGCTCTAGTCTCTGGTGTGCTGAGGGTGGAAAGCCATTTGGAGGAAATCTTTGCCAGTCAGGTTAGGAAAGATTTCCCAGAGGTCTTCGGGCTTTTCCTTTCCCCATTGGTTCCCTCCTCCCTTTAGGCCCCACCCCCCACCCATATCACCCTGAGGTTATTAGGGATGATGTTTTGAGTAGTAGGGCCTAATCATCCCTTGTTGCTTTCATCTTTGACTTCAAAGGCTTTCCAGCCCTCAACCTGCCTTCTGCCAACAAGGAGGAAACTGAGGCAGAAGAGAACAGACTTGGTCGAGGAAACCAGGACCCAGGGGTTCCGAGTTCTCCCCCTCTTCTCCTACATAAGTCTTTCTGAGGAGGTAGGGGAGACTATAAGTTAGTGCCAGGGGAAGAGATACATTAGAGATGACATTCCAACACAGACTTCATTCCAATTTCTTCTTTGGCCGTAGATTCTAATTCCCATTTTAACCCAGTGCTGACCCTCTACTTTTTCTACCTCAGACCCTAACACTATTTGCAACATTAACCCCAATACCTCTCTGATCTTAATCTCATCCTCATCCAACCTCCAAACCATCTCTAAACCACAGCTGTATCTAACAACTTTCCTGGCTCCTGTTCTTACCCCAATGCTAGACATAACCAGAACCAACTCACAATAGACACCCCAATTCTTTACCACTGCCACCCGGACCTCATTGTCCCAGAATGCCCCTTACCATCCTTACCAAGATAAGTCAAGGGGCCGGGGCTCCAAATCTGGCCAGAATTTCAGGAGAGGAGAGAATTGGGGGAGAAACAGACCCTAGTGGAATGGAGAGAGCCAGATGGAACTTGGTTACGATTTGATGCTAGAGGAGAAACCCGAGTACACTCAAAATGCTCAGAGCTAGGTAGTGAATGAAAATAGACAGATGGACATCCATCCAAGGAGCTTTGAGTTCAACGCTTCTAAAGTGCATTGGGATCTGTCTTTAATAAAGCATTTGGCAGTTCCCCCACAGAGCTGGGTGGGGCTCTATCTGCTGGAGGTAATTACTCTAATGAGCTTCCCTCTAGAGTGCCCTGCCCCAGCCTGGCCCCAGCTCCTCCCTGCATTGCCTGACATGTGATGTGGACATGTGCACACACATGCACTCACACACACACACAAATGCACACGCGCGCACGCGCGCGCACACACACACACACACACACACCCCAATTTGCTCTCCACGCCCTCCTTCAAACCTGTCTGAACTCCTCTCTTAGCCCCATGTCAGAAGTCCTGGATTTCCTACCTCATGCGTTTCTTTCTCCTTTCTCCAGTCTATCCAGAAAAGTGTAGTGCATGAAAGGCAGACCCTATCTCTCTCTAGGTGTCTGACTTTGATAGAGTTTCTCCAGCTCTCTCAGCCAAGTATCTTCGTCTGTGTTATGGTGGTTATAGACCAAGGATTCAGAACCAACTCCCACCTGACCCTCCAGTGGGTTTTTAGAGAAAATCACATGGGAGGAGACTGCCCGCCATTCTCCTGAGGAGAAGCTGGTAGAACTGCCAGCCTTTGTGTTGGGAGCGCAACTCCTTACCCACTAGGACACCAGAGTTCCCTTCACCATCCATAAAACACTAAAATAACCTTATTGCTTTCAAGTCAGAACCGATTCATAGCTGACCCTCTAGTGGGCTTCCAAGGCAGTAAATCAAACAGGGGAAAATAGCCTGTCTTTCTCCCAAGGAAGATTGGTGGATTTGAACCATGGTCTTTACACTAGCATGCGAATCCCTTGAGACTAAGCCACCAGAGCTCCCTTCCATAAGATGAACGTTTATTTATTCAGCAAACATTTATTGAGCTCTCGCTGTCCTGTGCCAGCACTTTACATGGCTTCATTCAATCTTCTCAACAACTCGGTATCAGGCAGATGTTTTGTTTTCATTTGACAAATGAGAGATGAGCCTGAGAAAATCTGAAAATCTAACTAGTCACCCAGCTCGGAGACAGGAAAATCTGTCCCTAAAGTGCCCTGGCATATAGTAAGCCCTCAAAAGTGATAACTATTTTTATTCTTAAAGAGAGACTGAGTTACATGAAACGGAGAACTGCTCCTGTCAGCTCAGCCCCTAAAAGGAGACCTTGGGTGGTACAGATGGTTAGACATTAACTGAAGGGTTCTCAGCTCACACCCACCCAGAGGTGCCTCAGAAGACAAGCATGGCAATGGCAATGGCAATCTACTTCCAATGGGTCACAGCCTTGAAAACACCAGAGAGCAGCTCTGTTCTGTACACAGGGGGTTACATGAGTCAAACTCCTCAACAGCAACTAACAATAAGACCATAAGCTGCCATCTGCCTCTCACCCCACATTCATGGACCCAGAAATCCAGGAAGGAGAAAAATGAATTTCCACTAGCATCCACCCTGTTCCTTTCCAGTTCCACCCTCATTTCTCCTCTGCCTTCCACTTGCCCTCCTTCCCTCCACTGCCCCCTCAAGCTAGGGCTCACCTTAGTGAACAAGACTAGTTGCTGACCATAAAGCTGCTGAGTGGCTGCTACCTGTCTCCCTCTCTCCTCTGAAAGAAAAATGAGATTTCCAACCCCACAAAGTTCTTGGAACTGGCTCTTCTCCTTAAACAAGATTTAGAAACCTGTGTTCCAACCTTTGCTATAAAGTTAGAATTGAGCCCTTTAGGGTGAGGTCATTGAGAAAGAATCTGCTAATATAGATTCAAATTCCAGTTCTGCTGCTTACAGTCTGTGTAACAGTGCAGTTTCTTAATGTCTTTGAGCCTCAATTTTCTCATCCATCAAATGGGAAAACACCTCTCTCAGTTTCTCATAGAATTCTCTTTTTTTTTTATTATTTTTGTGAGCATGTACCGTCAAATCAGATCTGACTGGTACAGGAGGAGATTGTCCCTCCTTCCCTGGCAGAGCATCTGGTGGATTCGAACCGTTCGCCTCTGGGATTGTAGTTGCAGCTCCTTGCCACTAGGCCACCAGAGCTCCCAATAGAATTCTCATAGGATTCTCATAGAATCCTAGCTAGCTCATAGACTAAGCAATCTCAGAGATGAAATGGAGCAATACTTGGAGTTCATTACCTGGCATAGAGTGTCTCAATTAATCTTTTTTTTTTCTCTTGCTTTTTCCTAAACTCATGTCTCTCCTCTGAGTTGAGTGTTTGAGAGGTGGGTTCGCAGGGACTCTAAAGAAAAGGAAGGGGCCAAGGAGCTGAGTTCCAATCTCTGGTGCCTTAAAGTAGAGCAAGTGCCAGCCCCACAGCAGCTGCTGGGTGCCTGCAGAGTGCTGAGGACTCTGGGAGCTCTCGAGTTTCTCTCACCATTCCTGATGCCGCCTGGGGCTCATTAAGGTTGCCCTGGCCTTGTGTGCCAGGCAGTGAGGGCAAGAAGAAATATGCAGAAAGAGGAAAAGCCATGAGGGGATGGACGAGGAAAAGGAGGTGGTCAAATTGCCTTTTGTCAGTTGACCGGCCCCTCTCCCCTCTCTCCCTTTCTTCACTAGCACTCCTCTGTCTTCTCTGGACTTGTTTGCCTAATCTGTAACTCTGTCCAGCTTCCAGCCCTGTCTCTGTTTTTATATCATTTTGCTGTCTTCCATTGTTCTCTCTCCTTCTCTATCAGTGCCTCTGTCTCTGGTTGATTTTTTTTGTTTTTCAGTCACCTATTCTTGTCCCTGTCAGTCTCTCCCACTTGCTCACTCACTTTTTTGTCTCTCTTTCTCCCTCTCTCCTGCCCTCGGAAAGAATCCCCACCCTGAAGACAGTGAAAGAGAAGGGAATAATAGACTAGGTGTCCAGACCCTCAACTGCCCAAGGGCCAAAGCCAAGCATCCTACTCTTCTCTTCCAGCCCTTAGGTGTCCAGAGGCCAAGCTCTTAACAGTCTTGACCCCTCTTTGCTTCAGGCACCCTGGCCACCCAGGCATTAAGAGTGGAAGAGACAGACCCCTCTAGACCCTAGGGACAAGCTCCCTGCCCCCAGCTGTGCCCGAGTCCTCCCCACCCCCTCCCTCTCGCTTCTGATTCCCCTAATCCCTGCTCCCCCCGCCCTCCCCTCTGCCCCACTTTTCCAGGACTCTGATTGGCTGATTATACTGACTGGGCTGGTGAGGGGGTTGGTGCAGGAGGGGCAGGGGGTAGAACCGAGGGAAGGGTACACTGTCAGGCCCAGGCCCCTGGGGGGCCAGGGCCAGGCCACTGCCTGGGGGCAGTGGACATCAGATACTGAAGGTATGAAAAGGGGAGTTTCTGGGGGGGAAGCAGGAAAGGATCCCAGGGACCCTATACCCAGTAAGGTCAAAGGAGGACAGATCAGGCTTACAGTCTCCTGGGTTTGCCTTTGTTCCTAGGAACCTCTGTGGTGGACAGGGCTTGCTAGAGTAGGGAAGGGCTGCCGGCAACCTTTTGGCAGGGTCACCAAAAGTCGCTGGGCCAGGTGGAAGTCCAGAGGGTCCTGAAGACGTATGGGCTGTCCCTTGGGAGCTTGTCAGCTCTCTCTCTCTCTCCCAAGACTCTGGGTGGGAGAAGAAGCCTTGAGGACAGGGTAATTGAGTGGCTGGCTGGCCCAGACTTTCATTTCCCCTTGGGGTCAGGCCCAGGCATTCCCCGCCCAGAGACCAGTTCATGGTTCCTCCTGCAAAGCTAGATCTGGACACTCCCTGTGAGCGGAAAAAGTAGGGCCCAGGGAAGACTGAGAGGTAGGGTGAAGGGTCTCTGCAGGGACTCCAGGCAGTTTGCTTTCCAGAGCAAAGGCCACTTATTATCTACCTGCTCTCAGAGATGTAGGGAGCCTGAGGATTCAGGGACCCCCTTTCCACTTCTAAGCCTCATTATTCTTCTCTGGGCAATGGGATGATCAATTGCCCACTTGACTCTTAAGATCACTTACGGGAAAGCAAACCCAAAGAAGAAAGTAGTGAGGGGCTATGGGTCCCGGATTGCAGTGGTTCACCAGCAGGTAGCCTCCACAAGTAGCTCTTCCTGGTCTATCATGCCTTGGGGGAGGGAGGCTGGAGAAGGGGAACTGAAAACCACCCAGAGAGGAGGATGGGTCTGCACCCTAACCCAGTCCCCCAAGACACCTTGTCCCACTCCTCTGGAGAAAAGAAGCAGGAGACGTGTGTGAGTGTGGGCAAGTACTGGGGGTTCACACTGCTGATTAAAGGGATGCTCGCTGAGCCATGAGACCAGCAGTCTTGGGTGGGGTTCCAGTACTTTAATCTTCTGCCCCATGTAATGCTTTCTCTGCCTTTCAGGCAGCCTGAGCCGGGCAGGGCCCCTCCCTCTGCTACGGCAGCCCCCCATCATGCAGCCCCCACTGGACCTCAAGCAGATCCTGCCCTTTCCACTGGAGCCAGCCCCCACCCTCGGCCTCTTCAGCAACTACAGCACTGTGAGTAGAACCTGTTGTGCCTGCCTGCACCCTCAGTGCCTCCTGTACCCTCAGTGACTGCCTGCTCCCTCAGTGCATCCTGCACCCTCAGTGCATCCTGCACCCTCAGTGACTCTGACTCGTTCCTCGGTTGCCCTTCTTTTACTTTCATGTCAAATACCTTGTCTCTTCTCACAGCTCCATCTCCCTTCTGACCTTAACAGCTAGTCAATCACAGGAATTACTGCCCATCTGATAGGCTATTAACAACAACAATAACAGCTAATAATTATTATGGGCCAAACACGATGCTAAGTGTTTTATATGTGTTAACTCGTTTAATTCTCCAATGAGTCACCCTTATCATCGAGAGAAGTAATAAAATCTAGATTTGCAGGTAGTAATGGTAGGGAGGTGGGGAGGAATATTAGGTATGGAATTTCATTAAGAAACATAAGCATGACTATAAGTTCTCTGTTACCCACAATTGAGTGAATAGGGTTCATGAGGTAGTGCTCAGAGGACTGGCAAAGTTGTCGAGCTATAACACTGTATGAAATAGGATCCCTTGTCCATTCTAGAGCAGGAGAGAGGCTTGATACAAACAGTGTGTGAGGAAAATGAGTGGGGCAAATGCATGGAAGAGAGCAGAGGCTGAAGGAGGGTCCAATTAGGAGGCTGGCCCAACGATGCAGGCCTGCAGAGCAGCTTTGCGCGCCAGTCTGCTGGCAGCAGTGGCAGCGAGAGTATAAAAGGAGAGAGGATGTAAGAGTTATTTCCAAGGAAATACTGATAAGGCGTGGTGACCAACTGGTGTTTGGGGTGTGGGAGGAGAGAAGGGATAAATGAATGAAGAATGACTCCAGGGTTCAGGCTTCTGTGATTGGAAGAAAGAATTCACCATTGATAGATTCAGGGAATTGGAGGACAAAGCTAGCCTGGGGTGAGGGTAGTGAGCTTACTTTAGAACATGATGAGTTAGTAGACCAGCAGGACATTGAGTCTAAAGTATCTAATTGACTCTTGGAATTTTGTGCCTGAAGCTAAGGATTAGGGCAAATCAGCTTTATTTTATTCAAATAATCTACCACCAAACCTATTGACAGCCCCCTAGTCTAACTGAACATTGTCTATATGTTAACCACTATAGAAAGTTTTCATAAACAATTTCATTTAATCTTCACATCAGGCTAACTAAATAGATATTCTTTCTAACAAATGAGAAAATGGAAACTAAGGATCAGAAGAGTTTAGATGAATGGTGAAGAGATTGAGAAGGTCAAGGACTGCAGCCTCCAATATGTATCGAGGCTCAATGTCAAGAAGACAAAGATTCTTACCACTGGGCCAATTGGCAGCATCAGGATGGGTGGTGAAGAGATTGAGATTTTTCACAGCTTCAGTTTGCTTGGCTCCACAGTCAACACTCTCTGCTCCAGTAGCCAGGAAATTAGAAGACGTATTGCCATGGGAAAGTCTGACGTTAGGGGCCTCTCCAAAGTACTGAAGAGCAATGGTGTCTCTCTGGAGATTAGGGTGTGTCTGATACAGCCATGGTCTTCACAATCACTTGTTATGCATCAGAGAGTTAGACAATGACTAAGGAGGATAGAAGGAGAATTGATGCCTTTGAGCTGTGGTGCTGGAGAAGAGTATTGAGGGTACCATGGACTACTAGGAAAACAAACAGATTCATCCTGGAAAGGGTCAAACCGGGCTGCTCCTTGGAGGCAAGGATTCTAAGGCTCCGTCTAACATACTTTGGACATGTTGCAAAGAGGGACAGGTCCTTGGAGAGGGACATCATGCTTGGTAGGGTGGAGGGACAGTGCAGAAGAGGAAGGCCCCCTATGAGGTGGATTGACTCAGTGAGTGGGGTAATTGGGATGGGTGTATTGGAGACGGTGCAATTGGCACAGGACAGAGCAGAGTTTAGGAATGTTGTACATAGGGTCGCTGAGTCACAAGTGACTCGACGGCACATAACAACAACAACAAATAAGATCTGAAGTCAGGGACCATGCTGGCCTAGTGAAAAGGAACTGCCCTGCCAAACTGAAAGCCTGCTGTTAGAATCTACCAGCTGCTCTGCAGTAGAAAGATGGGCAGCCTCCTCCTGTGCAATTTACAGCCTCTGAAAACTTGCTAGAGGGTCAGCTATGGGTCAGTTTCAACTCAACAGTACACAAAAAGAAGATATGAGCCCACGCTCCTCAGTCAACACTTTTGGCACCAGGAGCCAGGAAATCAAAAGACCAATTGTGTTAGGTAAAGCTGCTGTCAGGGACCTTTCCAGAGTACTGAGAAGCAACGATGCCAGTTTAGAGACTAAGGTGACCCTGATCCAGGCCATGATCTTCGCAATTACTTGCTATGCATCAGAGAGCTGGGCAATGACTAAGGATGACAGAAGGAGAATTCATGTGGTGCTGGAGAAGAGTCTTGAACATACCACAGATTGCCAAGAAAACAAATAGGTCTGTCTTGGAGAGGGTGAAACCACATTTCTCCTTCGAGGCTAGGATTTTGAAGCTGTGTCTCACATACTTTGGGGATGTAGCCAGGAGAGATAGATCTCTGGAGAAGGAAATCATGCTCAGAAGGGTGGAGGGACAGCACAGGAGAGGAAGACCCTGGATGAGGTGGATTGATACAGTAACTAGGACAATGGGAATTGGTGTATCGGAGTCAGTGAGACTAGCTCAGGACATGGCAGTTTTCAGAGCTATTGTCCATAGGGTCACAATGAGTCGCAGTTGACTTCACGGCACATAACAACAACAAAGTTTAATTCCAAATAGAGTTATCTTTATATCATAGCTATTTCCCCTAAACTTGACCTAAACACCCCAAACCAACATTTGGGTTGCACTTTGAGTTGAAAAAATATTTTTTTAATTTTAATTTTTTTATATATTTGCGTGTGTGTGTACCATCAAATTGGATCTGACTGGTACAGGAGGAGATTGTCCCTCCTTCTCCAGGGATTCGAACCACATACCTCTGGGATTGAAGTGCAGCTTCTTGCCACTAGGCCACCAGAGCTCCCTGAAAAAATATTTTTTTTAAAAAAATTATTTTATTTTATTATTTCTTGTGTCAAATTGGATCTGACTGGTACAGGAGGAGAATGACTCTCCTTTTCCAGCAGAGCATCTGGTGGATTTGAACCGCCTGTCTCTGGGATTGCAGTGCAGCTTCTTGCCACTAGGCCACCAGAGTGCCCCTGAAAAAATATTTTTAATATCTCAATTTTTATAGCAATTTATTATGTGTTAGCTATTGTAATTATCTTCAATTTATAGGTGAAGGTCTCTAGGTAGCACAAGAGGCTTCTCTCAATTGTTAACCTAGAGGCTGGTGGTTCAAACCACCCAGCTGCATCTTAAAGAAAGGTCTGGAGAGCTACTTCCGAAAAAAGGTCACAGCCTTGAAAACCCTGTAGAACAAAAGTTCTACTCTTTACCCACAGAGGTCTTCCTGAGTCAGAATCAGTGTTGGTTTATTATGTGCCAAGCACTGTGTCATAGGGATACTCACAGGTAACAAATTAATAGTTACTTTGTACTCTAAGAGGGAGCTCTGGTTGCCTACTGGGTAAGGAGTTGTGCTGTCAACCCAGAGGCAGGAGGTTCAAATCCACCAGCTGCTCCAAGGGGAAAAGATGGGCAGTCTCCTCCTTGTGCAAAATCACTGGAGGGTCAGCTGAGTCACTTTCCATATAAGTGAGTGAATAAGTGTAACTGATGACGAGAACTATGTCAGAGACACTTACTGTACATAGGAGTCCAAGAGAGAATGACAAAAAAAGAAAATACTTGCTCAATGTGGTAGTGCCCAAGAGACCAGCCCAAGTTAAACAAGGGAGGGGCAGGAAAGAAAGCAGCGGAAAGGGGATTAACCTTGCAGCGATTGACACATTGAGTTAGGCTCAAAAGAGTTATTAGTAGGACTGAGGCATGTCACATAAGAAGCACTAGAAAAGAGACTTCAGAACATGCAGTTGATTGGATCTTACTGAAGCAGAAGGGCAGATGCACTGTCCTCTCACCTGCATGCCTGGTTTACAGTTACCCTCAGCAACCCCATCACTCTTCCCATTTAGTAGGTGAGTAAACACAGGCCCAGAGAGGTGAAGAGACTTGTTCAAGGTCACAAAGCTACTTAGCCAATTCACATGGATAATTCAGGGTTTCTTACTCTATCCAAGGTCCATGGCTCCACTGCCTCTAGGGGGACAAGCTATTTAAAGCCCTGAGCGTGGATAAGTTTGGAGAGTGCAGTACATTGTCATCTGACTGGCATGGTTTGAATTGATATTCCAAACATACTAGCTGTGTGACCTTAAGCAGTTACTTAACCACTCACAACCTCAATTTTACCAGTTGTAAAATGGATATGTGAGAGTAGCAACTCAAGGTTATTCTCACAAGGTGAGAATCATATTATATAATGATAATGCCTTTGCAGTTCCAGTTAGCATCAAGCCAACTCCGACTCATGGTGACCCCATGTTTGTAAGGACAGAACTGTGCTCTGTGGAGTTTTCATGGCTCTGACCTTTCAGATGCAGATTGACAGACTTTTCTTCCAAGGCACTGCAGGTGAACACAAACCTCCAATCTCTCTGCTAGCTAAAGGCATTGACTCTTAAAACCTAGCATAAAGTAAATTTGTGTGTTAGTTGGCATTATTATTGCATTATCATTGGGATTGTTTTTATTTAAGGGCAGAGCAGAGAGAGAAAGGTACCATGATCACGACCTCAGCCTTTGGAAACAAGCAGAATTAGGCAGTGGGAACAAGAGGAGGTTCCAGCAAAGGAAATGGAGGAGCCACTGGAGGGAGCAGGGAAGGAACTGGGTTCCTGTGGAGTGGGAGAAGCCAAGGGAGAGAGTTTGGCGGGCCGCATCAATAGTGTCAAATTCTGCAGGGGAATGAGGACTGCAGAAAAGCTGCAGACAGACCGCTGGCAGTACCGTGCAGCAGTTAAGCACACAGCTTTGGAGTCAGGCTGCTCAGGTTTAAAACTCCAATCCTAGTTCAGCCACTCCCAAACTTTCGACCTTGGGTAAATGATTTAACCTCTCTAAACCTCGGTTTCTACATCTATAAAATGAAAATAATAATAATAATAGTAACGTCAAATCCTGGTTGGAAAGATTACGTTGATAGTCCGTGAAAAGAGCTCAGTATTGTGGCTGGAACATTCCAGGGACTCATATGTTGACTCACAATTAGGTGCTAGAGTATTATTGCTGATGGTGGAGTCTTTCTTTCCCCAGGGATTAGTACCTTCCCATTTCTTCTAAAAGGGCAGGTCTTACCTGATAGACTCTACCTCACAAATTATTCTCTCCTAATTTTTCTCTTCCTACTCCACTGCTTCTCTCTGTCCTTGTATGTCCCAGCCAGCCTTTCGTTCATTCCAGTTCTGTCTTCCCTCAATGGAGCGGGAGGGCATGAGACCCAGAGTGAAGTACATGAGCCCAAGCATCTATACAGAGAGGATGCTGAGGTCTGGGGAGTGGGCTGTATCGCACCGACATTCATCCCTGATTTCTGCCCTCCTTAGCCGCCAGGGGGCAGCAAGTGAAAGAAGCCAAGGCTTTTAGGGAGCCCGGTTCTCCGGCAGGTGGCAGACGAGGGGAAGAGGTGGGAAAAGGTTGGAAAAGGTTAGGGGAAACGTCCCCAGATTGGGGTCGCTTCTACTCTGCATTCCCGAAGCTCCACTGTCGAGAAAACAGTGCCGGGCATATAAATAGATTCCAGTCATTCATTTATAACGGGGGAAGTGACAGGTAAAAGGTAGCAACACAAAGGTTTTCCCTGTATTGCTCAGAGGGAGCTGGAGATGGATGGTTTTAAGGGTCTGAAAAAAGGCTGGGTGTTGAAACACAAGTAGGAATGGCAAGAATTTAAAGAGTCAGAGCTAGAGAATCAGGGTGGGCCACGGGATTGGTGGGGACACAGGGCTCAGGAAGGGAGATCAATCACGTCAATGCACCCTACTGCCAGGCTGAGCAGCCCTTTGCCAAGACAATGTTTCCTGGAAGGAGTATCAGAACATGGACACCCTGTCCACGTCTTTTCGCCCTGACCCCCTTCATCCCCCTGGGTCTCAGGCTGCCTGTCCCCGCCCCCGTCCTGGGCCCGCCCCCGGCCCCGCCTCCAGGGCGGGCTCCGGCCCAGGCCTGCACCGCCTTCCCTTCTCTGGGCTGGCCGGGCCGCAAAGCCCGGAGCCGCCTGGGCAACGAGCGCCGCGTCCCCCCAGGCTGCCTGGCCTGGCCAGGCTCGGCACCCACGCCCGGGTCTGCCACCCTGGGCCATGGAGCCGCAGCCGCCGGGGTCTCACAGGGTAAGCCGCCCGGCCCCTCCTCTCTCCCTGGCTCCCGCTGCTGCCGCAGCGCCCGTCCTCCCCCATCCCCGCCCTCCCCTGCTGGGCTGGCCACCTCTCCTTTCGCCCAGTCGTCTGCTTAGCCACCCCATCAGCCTGTCTTGGCCTCATCCAATTTCTGGACCCCAACTGGCATCTCGAGACTGCTGTCACTATACTGGCTGGATACCCCAGCTTCTGCCTCCCTAATCTCCAGAGCCCCCAGATCTTCAAGATGCTCACCAGGTCCTGTACCTTTCCTCAGATTACCACACGGATCCCTCTTATCCAGCCCTGGCCCCATCTCAGCCTCTCTCCCCTTTCCTGCATCCCTCCCCCACCAGTTTCCACCTGCTCTTCAGATGCCCCCTGCCTTTCCTCTCTCAGTCCATCCTGTCCCTCAAGTGTCCCCATCCCTGAGATTCCATCCCTTTGCCCTTTCTTTATTTCAGAAGGTGGGAAAGTGGGGTGGTCAAAGAAGGGGTAGTTGGATCCATCAGATAAAGGGCAATGGAAGGAAATATAGTCTTAGCCCCACCGTGTGCTCCGATCTGGTTTCCCCCTTCCCTCCCCCTTGCCCTTTCTGATTCATTTTGCCCCAGCCTCAGGGCACGCATCCCCTTCATATGTGCAGTTGGAGGAAAGGTGAGAGAGGACTGTTTGTGGACCAGGCAATGTCTAGGCCAAGATCCCAGGGAAGGGGCTCTAGAGTTGGACAGGTTCTGGGAAGATGTTAGGCTTCACCCCTCCCCAGGGAGCCTTCATCTAGGTCATAGGGCCTCCTGACCTTGGCCTGGAGCTGCACTTGAGTGCTCACATTCCACCTGCGCAGGAATTGGGCCTTGGAGCCCTTACCTTCAGCCTGATGGCTTCTCAAGTCCTGGAGGAGAGGATGGGAAAGCTCTTTGTGACTCAATTGCTGCCCCCTTTGTGACCCCACCTCTAGTTGGTGTTTATGAACTTGAACTGGGAAGGAGAATGTGTAAGAGAGAAGGTTCCTTACCCTGGAGGAAGGGGCTACTCTCAGCAGATGAATGTTGGAATGGTTAAACCAAAAGTTGTCGTCAGGACACTGGTCCTCAGGCCTGAGGGAAGCAAGTGGGGTCACAGAATGGGGCACTAACAGGACTACAGACCTCTGTTCTCTCTGCTTTTCCCGACTCCTCTCTTTCTCTCTCCTGTTTCCACCCAACTTAGGTTTCCTGACTCAGATTGAATTTCTGTTTGGGCTGCATTCCCAGCCCCTTCCCAGCATATGAGAAAGTCCAGGAGCTAGGCGAACCCTGGGTCAAAGCTTGTAGAGGAAATGGGACTCTAGGTAGGGAAGGCTGAGATCTGGAGACTGAGAGCTGAGGGCAACAGTCAGTCAGCCCCCTCTTCCTGATTAAAGCTTCTCTTCAAATTAGTCTGTCTTTCCTTCTGCCAAGCACATCATACATTCACACAGATAAACACACAGCTGAAGATTACACAACCTGACCATTCAACCCCCAACACAGAAATGTTGATACATAAATGGTGTACACACAGAACATGACACTCATTCACACTCCACCCATACACAGATTGATCACAGCCTGCCTAGACACACACACACACACACACACACACACAGGCACACCCTTACTTCCCCTGTTTGGCTTTTCCGTAGATTTGAGGCAGGCTTCCAAAAAGCTGATGGGAAATGAAAAGTGAGCCATTGAGAGGGGCTGCTTCCAGACAAGATTAAGCCATGCGATTGACACTTGTCAGTCAGGCCAGTCATCTGAACACAGTCATGGGTCCTGCCTCTACAACTACCAGGATGAGGCAGAAAGAATGAAGATCACAGGCATACTGTAAAGCCCTTTTCCTAACATTAACCCCAGCCACCCAGTGAGACTTGAGAAGCAGGGGAAGACCAGGATGCCTGAGCCTCCCAGACTCCAGTTACCTTCTTTCCCTGCTCTGTGCTCCTCTATCTCACCTGTGTCTCACTGAGAAGCCTGAAGGCCTGACTGCAGGGAGGGGCTCACTTGAAGAGCTAAGGACTCCATAGTATTGAGCAACTATTTTTCTTTCACTCAGTCCTTCTATCAGGAAGATGAGATTTCAGCCCTCATTTATTTTCATCTTGAGCAGTCCCAGCCATCACCCATTCCTCCTCAGCCTCTACTGCATTCCAGTCTCGCCTCTCCCTGCCCCCCTAGGGACTAGAAGGGAGGAAGAAGGTTCTGGGAGGCAGTTTCCATGGCTTTAGGCCCCTTGGCTTCATCCCCTGCTTGCAGAAGGACTCAGAAAACTCCCATTCTCTCCCCTCCCCATGTGAACACTTGGCAGGGACTGCAAAGACATCTGCTGACCTAGGGTGGGGGCAGAGATAGCTCCTAATCCCACCCAGCTCAACAGCCCTGACCCCAAAAGCCCTGCAGATCTGAGAGGGGGACTTCAGATCTCTGGGCCATCCTAGACTGGCCTGGCTGTTTAAGTCCTCTACTTAGTCCCTATTGTTCCATAGATTCCACAGATTTACCCTTTCCTGCATTCCTTTTACTCCTTCTAGAAGCTGCTGCCTTAAATAGGGAGTGCATTAAGAAGGCGTGGGGCCCAGAGATAGGAAGCAGGGAACATCTGTCTCTCTAGACCAGAGTCTAGGCTTGGCAGATAGTCTTGCCCCAGGAAAGGGGCCAAAAAGGGTTCAAAGAGAGTCCTATTACCTGGAGGCTCTAGAATCTGGGGGTATTTTGGAGTTTCACATCACTAGTCCACTGGTAGGGAGCTCTGGTGGCCTTGTTGTTGTGTACCATTGAGTCAGAACCGACCCATAGCCGCTAGATGAGAGATATAGGAGCCCTGGTAGCCTAGTGGTAAGAAACTGCTATCCCAAAGGCATGCAGTTCGAATCCACCAGCTGTTCCACAGGTAAAGGATGGGCAGTCTCCTCCTATGTGATTTACTACCTCTGAAAACCCACTAGCAGGTCAGCTATGTGTCAGTTCTGACTTGACAGTACTCAACAACAACAACAGCAGGTGCCTGGTGAATCTACAGGGTCAGAGTGACAGAGAGAGATCTTCATGGTGTAGTAGACCAAGACAGAAAACTCAGGCTCAAGTCTCTGCTCTTCTATTAACTCACAGTATGATCTTTATTAAACCACTTATATTCTCTCTAAAATGGGAGCGTTATATCAGTTGACCCCTTTCAGTTCCCTTTCAGTGTTGTAAGGATTGGGTTGGGAAGATATTGAGGGACTAAGACTCCGAGCCCTTAGATATATTTAAGGATGAGGAACAGGTCTAGGGACCTTGGTTCAACCCAGTAGCTGCCAATGGGGGAATGATGAGCATATACCTGGACTGGGCTTCGCATCTCACCCCAGCCTGCCTCCACAGATGGACCCTGTACAGAAGGCTGTGCTATCCCACACTTTTGGGGGACCCCTGCTCAAGACCAAGAGGCCCATCATTTCTTGTAATGTCTGTCAGATACGCTTCAATTCTCAGGTAAGAAGCCCATCTGCTCACCCCACCCAGTTGGTAGGGCAGAGGTCACCAGGAAGCCTTGGGGGACAGCAGAGGCTGGGACCTCTGGGTGAGGTCCTTATAGGTGCTTTTTATAAAAAGAACAGGGAATGGGGATTTTAAAGGAGGGGCAGAGGCTGGTGGAAACATAAGAAAGGGCAAGAGATTGCTGCATATTTTGATATAAAACAAATCAAATCCTCTCAGGCTGACCACGTCCTTCCTTAGGGGCTAAGGCATCCATGTCTCAGAGCTTCTTTGAACAGAGGTGGCCATTAATGTCTGGACGGCAATGTGGCCTCAGGCCTACTCCCTGGGCTCAGACTTAGTTGTCATTGGCTCCCCACAGAGCCTGTGCCCTCCTTGGGCTCTGGTAAACTCCTCCCTTGCCTCACTTCTTTTTAACCTGCCTTCCTCCTCTCTCCACCTTATCTCTATTCCTTCCAAATCACCTGCAAGGCCTGGTCCCTCTTCCTTTCCCTGGGGACTCTCCCATGGAGAGAAGTCACCTAAAACCCAGATCCCAGGTGTCTGATCTCCCAAATTCCTCCCTCTGAGGCACCATTGAGACTTTTGGGTGGGTCTAGAAGGGGCTTTGTTGAGGGAGTAGGAGCAGTATATTCTCTGAGAGCTTTTGAAGAAAAACAGCAAAGCCTCTTTCTGCTGAGTACAGGGAAATAAAACATGTTCTGTTTCTTTCCCCAGTTTACACTCCCTCCTCCTAATGCTGCTGGGCCCTGCACACCACACTGCCCCACCCATGGGCTGTCAACCTTCTTTTCCTGCCTACCCCTAGATGGGTGACCTTGGGGCTCCAGGACTGTATGTTCATAGCAGGGGTGCACATGAAGGGGGAAAAGGGGGAGAGGTGGAGCCAGGGTTCAGCCATTTTCAGGTCTCTCCTTTAGCTCAGACGCCAGACATTCCCTCCCCCAGCTGTGGACGGTAGAAGGTTGGGGGTATCCAGGAGGGAGGCAACAACAGATAGCCTTCCCCTCTTTCTGCCTCCCCTTCCCTCCTTCATCAAGCGACTGTTTTGACAGCTGTCTCTGCTGCCGTCTCCAGAGCTGGGCTTAAGGCCAGGGTCCTCCAGGGTGTCTACAGAGGCTTCAGGGAAAATAAGACTCAGGAGGGAGTAGTCACTGTAGATCCCAGGCATTGGGGCCCTAGAACACTTAGCCTGAGGACAGAAGCAGCAAAAGCTGGATTCTAGGGACAGGGGACACAGGTACAAGAGGCCTAAGATTCAAGAGAATTCTAGCTTATGGAATTGCTAGGTCACTCCCAGTTTAGGATTTTCCTCCAGATGTTGAGGGTAGTGGTATGGTTTGGCCTGGGCTAGGTGGGGGCCAAGTTCCCAGTGTCTCAAGTTTGAGAGTCTGATCTGAGCCCCAGAAAAAGCCAAGCTCCTTGGCATGGGGCTTTTGTATCTCACTGGTATAGGGAGAGATTTACTACAGCCTGCTGAGATCACCCTGATCTGGACTTGAGAGTGGTAGGGAGCTCTGTGGGTAGAGGGGTCAGATGAAAGGTGATTTGAGATTCACTTTCTTCCTCCATCCTTAAAGAGTCAGGCAGAGGCCCACTACAAGGGTAATCGCCATGCCCGACGAGTCAAAGGCATCGAGGCTGCCAAGACCCGAGGCAGGGAGCCTGGCGTCCGGGAACCTGGAGACCCAACTCCTCCAGGCAGCAATCCCCCAAACGGGGATGGCGCGGCCCCCCGACCAGGTGTGTCTTACTCTTACCATATTCTTCATCTGCTCTCTTTGTCCTTTTTCTCTCAGCCTCCTAGAACTTTTCTCTGCTCCCATCTCTCTCTTGCCTTTACCCCACCCCCACCCAAGGTGAGTCTTAGAGCCAAGCACAATGACATAAAATTTCCACCCTGTCACCCACACCCCCACCCCAGCTCCTCTCAACAGACTTCCCACTGTCTGTCCTTTCCATGCCCAGTGACTCACACAGGGACTAGGGTGAGGCCACCTGGCAAATCTCCCCAAGAAAAAAAGGAAACCATCAAGTCCAGGGAGAGGCCCCCTTCATCTCTGAGAGGATTGCTGGAGAAGGAGTCAGGCTGAGTGACTGCCCCATAAGACTTCCCTCAGGAAAGACAGAGGTCCCAGAAACTCAGAGACTCATTGGATGGTCTCAGATCTTTTGACATCTTGACCAATGTTTTTTGAGATATAAGGAAGTCAGATTGTAAGATCTTGGAGGTCTTTCAAGGTTTACCAAAAGCAACTCTAAGTTCCTTTCTCCCTCATGGCCAGTGGCCATCCTCAACTAAAGGCTGAACCAAGAAACTAGACAGAAGGAATATTAAGATAGGAATATATGAGCCTCCTCCCCATCCTAGGATTACCACTATCCCCAGGGAGATCCTACATCCCCTTTTTTCTTTATCCTTGCCTGTTCTTCTTGCCCCACCCTAAGTAAAATGAGAAACAAGTGTCTACACCACTAATTTAGGAGCCAGCCCCCTCCCCTAATTCTCATAACACAAGTAGTTGGAACTGCCTTCAGGGATACTCAGTTCTAATTGTGGTCTGGCTGCTTCTTAGACTGATCATCTTGAGTTAGAGCATTTACGTCTCTGTAAAATGGAGATGACAATAGTGATACCGAATGTTTGTTGACTAGCACTGTTATAGGTGCTTTATAAAGAGCCCTGGTAACATGAGGTAGAATGTCAACACATTGTTAACTGAACACTGTTAACTGAAAAATCAGTAGTTCAAATCCACCAGCCACTCCACTGGAGAAAGATAGGCAATCTCCTCCTCACCTAAAAATTTACAGGCTCAGGAACTGATGGAGGGGCCCTATGCATATTATCTCATTAAGTTCTCACACTATCTTTCTGTGGAGAGAGGAATACCTCCCCTTCTTTCATAAACCATTAAGTCTTGTCCTGAGAAAAGTTGTGCTAAGCAGATTAAGACGAAGGTAGAACCTGTCAAAAATAAGTAAGAGAAATAAAAGGAAAGATCATAAGATAGTCAAGCACATGGATACCCATAAGGCTCAGGAGTTCTCCCCCACCAGCTCCCCACCCCCACTGCCAGCCTCCCCATGACCCGGAAACTGGATCGTCTGCTGGGGTGAGAATGGGAGCGCTAGAGTTTCCCCTGTACCAAGGCCAGAACCCAGCACTGAGGCCTGGGCCTGTGCATCTTTAATCAAGCCATGAATTATAGAGGAGTCTGCATCCCTGTTCCTTCCCTCTCTACTTCTGCTGTTTCTGTTTCCCTTTCGCCATGTCTATGTCTGTCTGCTGTGGCCTTTTCTCACACTGCCTGTGCCTTTTCCTAGGACTCTTTGGCATGTTTTCTTAGGGGGCTGAGCAGGACTCTAGGAGGGGACTGGCTAGGCAGGAAACCCAAGCTGGCAGGCCAGCCATTAAGAGATAAATCCAGATACACCCTGGGCTGTGGGGCTGACCCTCTGGGCCATTCCTGGTTAATGGGGTATGATCCAGGCATTGGAGTTTGACACCCAGCCTGCAGCAGCTGGACCACATCTGGCTATGTGGATGCAGGGCATGAGAACATGAATGTTGTCACAGGGTGGGGACTCCTGGGCCCTTGCCCTCCAGGAAATGGGGCGTGGGTCTCCTCTACATGAAGAGTCTTCTCATCCAAAAGCCATCTGGGATGACCCTGTGTTTCTCCTCCAACAACAGTTTCCATGGAGAATGGAATGGGTCCAGCCCCAGGATCCCCAGAAAAACAGCCCGGCTCCCCATCCCCTCCCAGCGTTCCAGAGACCGGTCGGGGTGTAACCAAGGGTGAAGGGGGGACCCCAGCCCCAACTTCCCTGCCTGGGGGTAGCAAGGAAGAAGAAGAAAAGGCCAAACGGCTGCTCTACTGTGCTCTCTGCAAGGTGGCTGTGAACTCCTTGTCCCAGCTTGAGGCTCATAATAAAGGTATGGGCCCCACCTCCATGCCCACTCACACCCCCTGTCCACAGCCACCCTCTTCCCACTACATCCTAACCTCCCTGGCTTCCCACATCCCTCGACCTATGAGACCCAGTAGCCTATCTTCTTCCCCAGTCATCTTCCCATCATTAGACCCTTCATTTCTCAGCTCCTCTCCCATCATTTACTTTGACCCAACTCTCCCCATGACTGGCCTTATGTTTGTAAGGATTCCAAGAAACTTGGAAAATACCCTCACTTGATCTCTACTTTGTACATTGTCATTAGGAATGTAGACATTTAAGACCTCTTACGCCTGGAGAAAGAGCGCTCTGGTGACGTAGTCTATATAACCCAAAGTCTAGTCCATCTCTGACTGTTCAATTCCACCAGCTGCTTCTCAGGAGAAAGATGATCTATCTCCGCTTGTGCAATTTGCAGGCTCAGAACCCCAGTGGAGGGGCAGCTATTAATTGGAATGACTCTACAGCAGTGAGAGAGAGGCCTGAAAAATAGGAATTCTGATTATATAGTTCCTAGCAAGCTGGGCTGCTAACCAAATGGCTGCATGTACAGCAGTTCAAATCCACCAGCAACTCCGCGGGAGAAAGATAGGCAGTCTCCTCCTGTTGCAGTTTATAGCCTCAGAACCTGACAGAGTGTCACTGAGTCAGACTCGACTAGACAATGAGTCTGAGTTTTTCTGAGACCTGAAGAATTTTCCCTCCACTGCTTACCTTCTATAAGGAGCCCTGGTTCTCAGTGGTTACGAACTTGGCTTCTAATAGAAAGGTCAGCAGTTCAAACCACCAAGCACTCCAAAGGAGAAAGATGTAGTAGAAGCAGAATTACTTGTAAATCTTGTAAACCCTATGTAGAAATTCTCTGCTATGTGAGACTCTTCCCTGTAGGGTCATGATGAATCCAAACAGACTCAAAGGCAATAGGTTTGGGTTTTTTATTTCCTACTGTCTGTGGGTTCCAGGTACTAAGCACAAGACAATTTTAGAGGCACGAAGTGGGCTGGGCCCTATCAAAGCGTATCCTCGCCTGGGGCCTCCTACCCCTGGGGACTCAGAGGCCCCTGCCCAGGACCGAACCTTCCACTGTGAGATTTGCAATGTCAAGGTCAACTCAGAAGTACAACTGAAACAGGTGAGTTCAAGATTCTTCCAGCTCTGTGTTTGGAGGTGGGGAAGGGTAGGAGTGGGAAGGGATGGACCCGGTGTTTGGGGAGTTAGATATACTGGCTAGAGTCCTACCTTGGCCTTTGCTCCTTTCTGGTTGACTTGTCAACCACTGAGTTGAATAAGACTCATAGTGACCCTAAGAAAACAGATCTAAACCATGTCCTAACCTGTGCCATCCTTTTCAACTCTGATGTACCTGATCCTATTTGCAGCTCACATACTTTGGGCATGTAGCCAGGAGGGGCCAGTCCCTGGTGAAGGACATCATGCTTGGAAGGGCAGAGGGACAGTGCAGGAGGGGAAGACCTCAGATGGATGGAGTGACACAGTCACTGGGATAATGGGGGTAGGTGTGTCAGAGATAGGGGGACTGGCCCAGGATAGAGCAGAGTTCAGAGCCATTGCACATAGAGTCCTATAAGTCGCAGACAGCTGGATGGCATATAACAACAGTTGCAGCAACAACTGTCAGTCCACCTTGTTAAGGGTCGTCTTCTCTTTTGCTGACCTTCTACCTTTCTAAGCATGATGTCCGTTTCCAAGGAATAGCTTTTCCTAACAACATCCTAACAACAAAGTATGTGAGACAAAACTTCACTAAGGAGCACTCTGGCTGCACTATTCTCTAAGACATATGTGTCTGTAAGCTTCCCCACACACACATTCATGCCCATTCAGTGTAGTGTTGGCTGGCTAAAGCAAACAGCAGTTTGTATTCAACCAACCACTGCTCCAAGGAAAAATGATGGGCAGTCTCCTCCCATAAAGATTTAAACTGAGAAACCAATGGAAGATCACTGTGAGCAGGAACCAACGCTAAAGCAGTGGGTGGGATGGGTCCTCATACACCATCCCACCCTCCCCTACCCCACAGCACATCTCCAGCCGGCGGCACCGAGACGGCGTGGCCGGAAAGCCCAATCCTCTACTGAGCCGTCACAAGAAGCCCAGGGGTGCGGGAGATCTGGCGGTGAGGACTGGGCACTGGGGAATTCAGTGATGGGCAGACCTGGCTGGGCAGGAGAAGGAGCGGGGCTGGAGGAGGGACCAAGTCCCGGGAAGGTGGAGTTTGGAAGGTCACCCAATGGCTTCTTTCTCTTCTCTCTCCTCTGCTACCCTGCAGGGCACGCTGACTTTCTCCAAAGAGCTGCCCAAGTCTCTGGCCAGCGGTCTGCTCCCCAGCCCTCTGGCGGTGGCTGCGGTGATGGCAGCGGCAGCAGGCTCCCCACTGTCCCTGCGCCCAGCCCCAGCAGCACCTCTTCTCCAGGGACCGCCAATCACTCACCCTCTGCTCCACCCTGCCCCGGGGCCCATCCGAACTGCGCACGGACCCATCCTCTTCTCCCCCTACTGACCTCAACCCTGAACCTCCTCCCTATTCTGCTCCCCACCTCCAGCCGGGACCCAGGCCTTCGGGCTCCCAGCCCGTCCCTCCTCCTGGCACTCCCTGAATGATCTCTCTCCTTCCCCCCCGCCCCGAGGTACGGGGTTCCAGGAATGGGGAGGGGCAGCGGAGGAGGGGAGCTTCAGAAGGGGGGGACACCCCAGATCTCAGGGAACCCCGCCCCCTACCCTTCTCACCTCCTTAGAAAAGGGGGGGCCGTCTCTCCCTCGAGCCCCCTTGGAGACACCCCCCCTCCCAAAAGCCATGTCCATCCAACCCTTCCTCCTCAAACCTAGCACAAAACGGGGTTCACAAGCCATGGTCGGGGTCCAGGGGGCAGAAATGGATTTTCCTGGCAATAAGTGGACTCTGGGACTCCGGCCCCCTACCCCCAAACTGAAGCGCTTCCGTGAACACCCCTGTCCTCCGCAGGGGGAAGGGAGCAGGCGGGATCCTGGGTCCCTCTTAAGCACTTTGGTTTTACCGCCTGCGACCTCACTGTGCCCGCCCCTCCCGCCCCCCAAGTCCCAGGTCTAGCCGGGCTGTAGCCCATCGCAGGGAGCAGCATTTGGGGGTATCTCTGGCACTTGGGTGGGACCAAAGGAGATGCCTCCATACACCCTTCCCTCCTCTTCTTCCTCCCCATTTCGGGTTCCATTCTTTTCACCAGCACCCATCGCCCAAGGGGTACCGAGGGGGGCACGGGGTGTCCAGTCCAAGCCCACCCCTGCCTCGCCTTCCGCAAAACTGTGAGCAAAAAGCAATAGAAGCCTCGCCCCCGCCCCTCCCCTTTCCGCAGGATTCGCTGAGTCTTTAGCCTCCCTCACCCTAGACCTCATGGCCGTCCCTAACCACCTCCACTGCACAACTCGGGCAGGGGCGTGACTCTCCTCTGTGATTTCCTTATCGTCAGCCCTTCCAGCAGCCGACCGGGAAAGGGTCTTCTCCCCATCACCTCCTTCTGCTTGACAATGTAGCAGCCCCAAGCCTCCCTCTTCCATCCTACCCCTTTTCCCTCTCCTCGACAATAAAGTCTGCATTCGGTCTGCCCTCTGCTCCCAGACTCGAACTCTCGGTCTTTTTACGCTGTTTGGGGAACCATTCCATCGGAGGATGGATCGGTACAGTGAGGATGACCTGTACACAGCAGGAGGAGGCAGGAGGAAGGGAAGGGGCAAACGTACGTAGGAAGAATTTTGCACCTGGCTTGTGCAAATTGAGCGAGAATACCCCAGCCCACCCACCTCCACTCCAGTTCAGCTCAAGTGTAGATTCCGCCCTGTGGGAATCCGAGTCCAGATCAGCGGAGACGATTGATAATTTATCGCAGCTACACTAGGCGGCGCCAAAGACACGGAAACCGTGTTCCCGGAGACCAAACTGCTCCAGTGGTTAATCTCGCGATTCTAAGAGAGGCCTGGTCTCAGACAAAGGGAGAAATCAGGGGTTTGTGCATCTAGTGGAAAATCCGCACCAGAGAGGTGCCAGTCACAGGAGGAAACCGAGACTAAGATCTGAGCTCTAGGCTTTGCTCAGATCCATGTAAAACAGAGAATCCCTTTTTCTCTCTCAATTTCCTTTTTACCCCTTAAGTTGTGCCCCTAACAACAACAACACACCTACCAAAATTAGTAAGAAACCTATGGCTCCCCATCCCCCTCGCCCTACTGACCGGCAGGGAGACCAGCTGAAAAAGCCCAGCATGTCTGTGACATCTCCTGACTTACAGCTTGCTCACTTCCCCTCTCTACCCACTTCCCAGTCTTAAATAATAAAGGGGAAGGGAAGGTGGGATAGCAACTGATGAAGAGCAAGGAAAGAGAATTAGGAGCCTCCTGGGTTGTGAGGAAATAAATTTTTCTTTTTTTTTTAATAGAACTAAAAAAGGTTTGACTTGGTTTTGGATTCTTTTTTTCCCAAATGTGGCACAAAACAAGTCAGGAACTGCAGATCCAGAAGCATGAGAAGCAAGAGTGATACCTGTAAAGAGTAGGCAGCGTCACTCACTGAGAGAGGGACTTGGGCTGAAAGACATTGGAGTTAGTCTACCGGGATACTCACCACAGATCCTTCAAATCTGCTGCTTAAAAGTCAAATTCCGTATTGACCCCTTTCCCTAAGCCTGCCCCTCCTCTCATATTCCCTATTCCGATTAAGAGCACCCTACCATCCATCCGGAGAACTGGGGATTCTCCTACTTCCTCCTTTCCTTACACTAACCATTCATTCCATGAGTCACTTGTTAGGTACTCTCCAGTTGGTTCTGACTCATAGTGATTATGACAGAACAAAATACTGCCCTGTCCTGTGCCATTGTTACAGGCATTGCTATGTTTGAGTTCATTGTTGCAGTCTATCTCATTGAAGATCTTCTTTGCCATTGACCCTCTACCAAGCATGATATCTTTATCTAAGAACTAACCCTGGAATCAATAAATAATTCAACCATTTAACAGCCTAGAGATCATAAAGTAACTAAAAAAGAGACTAAGGTGTACCTGATCCAGGCCACAGTCTTCACAATTACTTGCCATGAATCAGAGAGCTGGACAATAACTAAGTATGATAGAAGAAAAATTGATGCCTTTGATCTGTGGTGCTGAAGAAGAGCATTGAATATATATCATGGATTTCTAAAAGAACAAACAGGTCCATCCTGGAGAGGGTGAAACTCGGTTGCTCCTTGGAAGCAAGGATTCCAAGGCTATGTCTGACATAGTTTAGGCGTGTTGCAAGGAGGGACTGGTCCTTGGAGAGGGACTGCATGTTTGAAAAGGTGGAGGGACAGCACAGGAGGGGAAGGCCCTCTATGAGATGGATTAACTCAGTGACTGGAATAATGGAGGTAAGGTGTGTCAGAGACGATGAAATTGTCCCAGGATAGAACAGAGTTCAGAGCTGTTGTACATAGGGTTGCTATGAGTCAGGGTCAACTTGATAGCACATAACAACAACAACAGATTGTAAAGGGAGCTCTGGTGGCCTAGTGGTAAGGAGCTGTGCTGCCAACCTGAAGGCACATATTTTTAATCCACCAACTGCTCCACTAGAGAAAGATGGGCAATCTCTTCCCTGGGGATTTATTTTTGGAGGGTCAACTATGAGTTGATTCCAACTCGATGACAACAAACAAGAAGATAAGGGAGATCTAGTGGCAATAATTCATAAAAGTGTTACACTGATAACCAAAAGTTTATATCTCTAGCCATTCTAATTCACCAGTTATTCCTATGGAGAAAGATGGACACTGTCCTTCTATGTGCATTTTCAGAAACTCCATGGAGGGTTGCTATGAGTTAGAACTGATTCAACGACAGTGAGCATGGATCATAATAATTGTTTTCCATTTCCATAGCAACTACCCTAACCAGAACTGGTTGCAAAATTTGCAAGACCCAATGCAAAATGAGAATTCAGGCCCTCCTATTAAAAAAAACTACAAGACTTCTGAGACACTGATAGTAAACACTAAACCATTCTAAGTACAGGACCTTATGTAATTACACGGGTAACACACCATGAAGTCAGTTCTGATTCTAATTTAGGCCCTCCCTGACACTGGTGATGTAGTCAGTTAGAGAGTTGCTCTGTGAACACAAAGGTGGCTTCTCTCAGTTCAAAGTCACAGCAGCTTCATGGCTTTATGGAAAGAATGATTGACGGTCTTCTCCCATGTGATTTACAGCCTCAAAAAACCTGCTGGATAATTAGCTATGAGCCAATTCCAACACCACAGTAATGAGTGAGTGAATGAGCTCTTGGCTGAACTGGTACCTCTTTACTGATCTTACTTCTGACCTGCATTCCTTCAGTCTCTCACACAGCTAAGTGTAAAGCGCCCCAAGGCCTATGGAAAAATCCCAGCTCCTTACTTAGCTTGACACAAAGGCCCCCTTTGTTTCCATTCCTATTCACCTTCCCAAATCTCTGTTGCTCCCTACCTCACACCTTTTGTGCCACTTCTACCAAATTAAGTGTAAATTTCCCCAAATACTAAGTTTACCAAACATCTATGCCTTTATGAATGCCATCTCCTCTGCCTAGAATGATTATTTCCTGCTTATTTCAAAACACAAACTCCTGTTCATTCAAAATCTAGCTTATCAACACAGCCATTTCTCCATGAAATCTTTCCTTACCTCTTTATTAGTACTTCACTCCTTCTTTTATCAAAGTTTCTATTATACTTTAGATGAAAGACTGGCAAACTTTTTCTTGAAGGGTTAAATTAATAAATATTTTAGGCTGTGCTGGCTAAGAGGACAAATTGAGGATATTATGTAGTTAGCTATGTTGTTATTATTTGCCACAAGTCAGAACTGACCCATAGCTGACCCAGCAGGTATTCAGAGGAAGTTAATCGCACAGGAAGTGATTATCCATCCTTCTCCCATGGAGCTGCTGGTGGATTCAAACCACATACTTTTGGGATTATAGTACAGTTTCTTTTTATTATTATTATTATTTACATTCATTTATTGTTGCACTTTTCTCCCCTCCCAACCCCCCCCCCCAGTACACTATCCTCTTGGAAAAGTAAAAGAAAAATTCTTTCATTGTTTTACAATCCCTCCCCCCAGGTCCACTCCACTATGCGGCCTTCGCTCTGGACTCCTGTCATGACAAAAATACCTAATCGCATATCCCTTTTAAATAGTTTTCTCCCTCGTCTGTTTCAATGCAGTGTACATTACTAAACCCATCTTTCTCAGTCTCCCCCCAACACCAATTTCAGTCCTGTTTTACAACAGTGGCACCATGCAGTATTTGTCCTTTTGTGGCTAAGATACTTCACTCAGAATAATGTCCTCCAGGGTCACCCATTTTGAATAATATTGCATGAGTTCCTTGTTTTTCAATGCAGCATAGTATTCCATTGTGTGAACATATCACAGGCTTCTCTATCCATTCGTTTATTGATGGGCACTTAGGTTGTTTCCAACTCCTTGCTATTGTGAACAAAGCCACGATAAACATGGGTGTGCATTACAGTACAATTTCTTACTACAAAGCTATCATTTAAAGCATTTTTTAAAAAAAGCAAGTCTTTTTAAAAAAAAAAGCGAAAATCTTAATACATAGGCCATGTGATAAGTAATTATAGGCCAAATTTAACCCATAAGCCAAAGTTTGTCAACCTCTGCTTTACAGAGTCAATTATGTATTTCTGTATTTACTTATCTATTCCTTTGCTAGATTATATCTAAGCCTGTATATCATACCTCCTTTTGTCCTTAGTGTTAAGCCCAGGATCTGGTCTTTCATAGGCATTTAATATTTATTTGTTGAGAAAATGAAACAATGCTTGAACAAAAGGCTAAACCTAACTCCTATGAGGAAAGAAATATGAATTGTAGATACCCCTTTTCCCACCTTTCTTTATTGAACTCCTTTTTCCCAGATGTGCTAAGGTGGCCCAGGGCACCTTCTGACTTGAATTTAATTCTGAGCCCTCAAGAAAGGGAAGTGGGGGGGATAAAAAGGAAAAAAGAAAGGGAAGGCAATGCTTCCTCAAAATAAGTCTGTTTTCTGCCTTGAATTATACCCATAATTTGACCTTGTCCCTTTATCCTTATAGAGTGGCCCAAATGTTCTGGTGCTATCTCAATGACAGTTCTTGTCAATGATCAAATTGGTGTTTGCCTTGCAAACAGGGGAAGGAAACTGTTGGCCTCAGGAAGGAGTTAAGGAGGTTTCTAGGTTGATGTCTTCATTATCTAGTGCTATTAGAACAGAATTGCCACAAATATGTGGCTTTGACAAATGAACTTTGTAGGTTTTGGGTTTTTTCTCTGCGTAGGAGGCCAGAAGTTTTCATTCAAGTGCCATCTTTAGATGAAGGCTTTCCTACTCTGCTGACTTTGGAGAAGGGTCTTTCTCTCTCTTCTGAGTTTCTGCTTCTGAATGATCTTCATGTGTCTTGGCATCTCTCTTCCACATCTCTACTCTATAGCTTTCTTGCTAAATCTTTCTAATATCTCAAAAGATATTGACTCAAGTACGATCTACTCTAATACTGCCTGTCTTGATTATCTAAATCTGCTGTAACAGAACTATCAGAAATGGATGGCTTCACGGGAGACTGGAGCGAGGGCTGCATGGTGGAGGGGACCTGGGGGAGTGTTTGTGGAACAGTGAAAGAATCTTTTCTTTTACTTTTCCATAATTTTTGGACTCATGTACCTATGACTTGTTGGTCAAGTTCGTGTCTTCTGGGTTGCAACACCCCCATGGTGCATCTTGGAGGATGTGTGCATGTACGGCCAGGCACAATCAGTGGGAGTGCATCTGAATTCCAAGGTCGATCTCCGTGGTGGTCTGTGTGTTTCCTGCTGCCAGGGGGGCCCTTTGGAGTGGTGGGGGGGGATCTTCACCCTGGGGCCCGCGGCGTCCCTTTTCGGCGGGGAGTGGCTGGGAGAGTGCGCCGTCCCCTTTTCCTTGTGGCTGGGGTGGGGTCTCTCTCGGGGAGGGGTGGTGGGGAATGGCGGAGGATACACTGACGGGGGGATTGGTCGGAGCTGGCTTTGACGGGCACTGTGGCATTTGGACGGGAGCAGACTGGGAGGAGGGTGGAGGGAGTGGTGCGGCAATGGATGGGTGGAGGCCCAGAATCTCTGTGGATGTTTGTGAAGATTAATAAAATATAATTATAGAAAAAAAAAAAAAAAAAAAAAAAAAAAAAAAAAAAAAAAAAAAAAAAAAAAAAACCTTAAAAAAAAAAAAAAAAAAAAAGAAATGGATGGCTTTAACAAATAAAACTTCATTCTCTCACAGTTTAAGAAACTGGAAGTCCAAATTCATGATGACAACCTTAAGGCAAGGCTGGCTTTCTGTGTCAGTTCTAGATGAAGGGTCCTTGTCTCTTTTAATCATCTGTGAGCCTGGCATTGCTTAAAGATCTCCATGTGTCTTACCCTCCTCCATGTAAAGAGGTTCCTAGTACAGGGACTTGGGTCCAAAGGATTCACTTCATTCTTAGTTCTTTTTTTTTTGGTGCCACTGAGGTCCCTCCAATCTCTGCTCACAGCTTTAATCTTTTTATTCCTCAAAAGATAATTAACTGACTCAAGATACAATATGATCCTATAGATTGCATCCAGCCTCACTAACATAATCATCCCTAATGTATCTCATTAACATCACAGAGACCAGTATTTTACCACAACTAGGATAATCACAACAGATCACAAAATAGAAGATAATTACAGAATGTTGAGAATCATGGCCTAACCAAACCGGAGAGTGATTTTGGGGGAAGAAACTAAATCCATAACTCTTTTTCATTAACATAACAGAGATAGCTCATTCCCAAATGGGATTAAAACTACAGGCATAGAGTATAGGATTTACAACTCATATTTTGGCAGGAAACACTTCCACCTATAACAGGTGAGCACAGGGGAATTTCAATAGAGAAGCCCTAATTTCACTAGCCAAAGCAAAATGAGCAGGACCAGAAGGAAGGATGTGGCTAAGTTGGGCAACTGGGGAGTTTCTCTTTCGTTCACTCTACTATAATAGGAGACATAAAAGGAAGGTATATGCCTGCTTGAAACCTAACTACCTTCCAGAAAGGTTGGATTACTTCTTCCACCAGAGAGGATAGAAGGCTAGAAACTCAGGCGCATTATTATTGTGGTGGGTCTATTTTTATTTCTTTTCTCTTCTCATCTTCCAAGTAGTAATAAACAGAGAAAACTGATATCTGTACGTGTGCGTAGCTAAGAGAGCAGAGGGGTCTAAAGTGTCATTCTGAATATAGAGAAGGGACTCCTGGGTGGTCTCAGGGGATAGAGAAGAAATAATCAGAAAGCTTGAAGGACCCTAGGGTTACTGGGGGGTCCCTGAAAGAATATTGAAGGAGGCAAGGGGCTGTGGCAAAGAGAGACAGAGGCGAAGATATTTAGATAAGAATTCAGGGAAATGGTTGGTAATGGGATGGGACTGAGACAGTCTAAGGAATGAGATGGAGATCTTGGGATGAAGGAAAACGGTTATGGAGGCTACTGAGATAAGGTGAATTCTAGGAGAAGCGCCAGTGTCCAGGGGCCCAGGGCTATTAAGAGACTTAAATTTAAGGCCATGTTTGACTCTTCTCTCTCCCATATTTTCTCTTCCTCATAAGTCTTTAGCCTCAATCATGTGGAACACCTCTGATGTCAACTTCTCCTGCTACCATGAATCTGTCTTGAACTATCATTATGTCGCCGTAGCCTGGGGGGTCATGGTGGCTGTGACAGGCACTGTGGGCAATGTGCTCACACTGCTGGCCTTGGCCATCCAGCCCAAGCTCCACACCCGATTCAACTTGCTCATTGCCAACCTCACGCTGGCTGATCTGCTCTACTGCACCTTACTCCAGCCCTTCTCAGTGGACACCTACCTCCACCTGCACTGGCGCACTGGTATTACCTTCTGTAGGATCTTTGGGCTCCTCCTCTTCGCTTCCAACTCGGTCTCCATCCTCACCCTCTGCCTGATTGCACTGGGACGTTACCTCCTTATTGCCCACCCTAAGCTCTTTCCCCGAGTTTTCAGTGCCAAAGGAGTAGTGCTGGTGCTGGTGGGCACCTGGGTAATAGGTGTGGCCAGTTTTGCCCCTCTCTGGCATATCTATGTCTTGGTACCTGTAGTCTGCACCTGCAGCTTTGACCGATTCCGAGGCCAGCCTTACACCACCATCCTCCTGGGCATCTACTTTGTGCTTGGACTCAGTAGTGTTGGCATTTTCTATTGCCTGATCCACCGGCAGGTGAGGCGAGCAGCGCGGGCACTGAACCAGTACAAGCTGCGCCAGGCGAGTGTCCACTCCAACCATATCGCTGGGGCGGATGCCATGCCTGGCCATTTCCAGGAGTTGGACAGTGGCCTGGCCTCTGGAGGAACAAGTGAGGGAATTTCATCTGAGCCAGTCACTGCTTCCACGACTCAGACCATGGAGGGAGACTCATCAGATGTGAAGGACCAGGCCAACAGCAAGGCAGCTAGGCAACCGAGGGAGAAAAGACTTCCAGAAGTACCTGCCAAGGTCAGGCCAACCAAAGGCGGCAGAAAAGACCAAGACTCCCCATCAAAGTTTGGGAAGGTGACTCGAATGTGTTTTGCTGTGTTTCTTTGCTTTGCCCTGAGCTACATCCCCTTCTTACTGCTCAACATCTTTGATGCAAGAGTACAAGCTCCTCGGGTTGTCCATATGCTTGCTGCTAACCTCACTTGGCTCAATGGGTGCATCAACACTGTGCTCTACGCAGCCATGAATCGCCAGTTCCGGCAAGCTTATGGTTCTGTCCTACGACGAGGTCCTCAGAGTTTTCGCAGGCTCCGTTAGTTCTGTGCCCCCAGTCACCAGAATCCAGGACTGCCCCTTCCAGAGCTAATGTGGCCAGTTGGCATCGTGTAGATGCAAATAATATCTGTGAATTCATAGATAATCCTCCCCCTCAAAAAGACCGGACCCCTTCATGAGCATTTCAGCCCTAGGCCACATTATTAATAAATTAATTCTATGCTTTCAATGTGCAAGTGTGGTCTCTGGAAAAGAAACTAAGAGTCCAGGGTTGGTTTGGAGCTGGAATCTTAACAGCTGAGGATTGAAAGGCAGGAGCTGCGTCAGAGGAGGGCAGAAAGCAGCTGACTTGGGATGTAGCCTTCCACTGACAGTTTTCTGGTTAGAAAACATTTTAATTGGTCTGAAATTAGATTACCTTTGTATTTAATTCCTCAGGAATGGTCCTTTAACTCTAGCCACCTGCATGCTGTGTCCTTGAAGACAGGTTGATTCAGCTCAAAACAGTTTTATAATCCATCCTTGATGTCCACTCCAGTGAGTCCAGCCCCCTGACCCTTGCCTTTCCAATTAAGTGTAATGGCCATAGAGGAAAACTCAGTGGACATGGAACTGGATTTAGCTGGGAAAATGGCAGTTTCCAGCTGGTCATACTAGTTGGAGTAGATTCACGCAGATCCAGACCGCCAGTTCCCAAGACCTACTCCTGTCAACTTGGCTTGTGAAAGCAAAAGAATAAATTCTAATTCAGCTGAGGAGAGTCCCTACATTAGCTATTCTCTTCCTCTAGTAAACCTGTCATCCATGTATATGTGCACTCACGTCCTGAAAACACCTGTGGCCACCAGGTGACGCTGGTTCTCTGTATTTTCTCTCCGGCTGCCTAACAGAGGTACCAGAATAATAAGAGTCCAGAGACTCCTGACCAGCAGAGGTATAAAGATTTGGAAGGCTGTATTCTCCCTTTTACCCAAAGCTTAGGAAGAAAAATGAAGAATAAAAACATTAATAAAATAGTTAATGACTTGATGCAGGGTTTGGGTATGCACCAAGCAGGGAAAATGGGCAAACATGGGTAGTGAGCATTGTGCCAGCATCAAAGGTGCAGTGTGAGAGTCATGTTAGTGTGAACACTCTGGCCTGGCCGTATGGTAAGCAAAGAGCCTGGGGTGATTCTAAAAAGAACAGAAAAAAAATCAGTCCTGTGAACAAATCACTTACTCTTACAGGCAACACCCTTCCAGGGCCCATGAATTCTGCCTCCTTACCTAACGAAAATGCTATATCCTCCTCTTGAAAAAAAACAAAACAAACAAACAAACAAAAACCCCAAACCAAACCAAACCAACAAAACAAAACAACAGCAGCCTAAATAGTCAAGTTTACATTACTGAAGGAGGAGCCCAAACAGGTAGAGTGATCAATGAAGAACATTAGCCTGGGAGTATAGGCTCTCTGAAATTAAAGCTGAGGGTTTACAGGATATTTTTTTGGTGGGAGGAAGGGAAGGCATGTCTGTTTTTAACATTTTATTTATTTGTGCATTGGGAAAATCTGCTGCCAAGGGAATTCAGGTTTTGTCATCTGTACATCTTATCATGTGATCAATGCTGTTCTAAATCCTGTAAATATTATTTCATGCAATCCTTGCAAAACCACAAAGTGGTAGCTTTTTATAATCTTTCTTTCAAACAAACAAACAAAACAAAACAAAAAAAAGGTGACGCACAAATAGGTTAAGTAATTTGTCCAAGGTCAATCTGCTAATAAGTAGTGCTGCCCTGATTTGAATGCAGAGTCTGTCTTCAGTGCCTGCCTACTTATCTAATCATCGAAAGATAAGCCGCCTTTCTAAAACTAGAATCAGGTAGCCAGTTCATCCTTAAAAGTCTTTCCAGCCTGAATCTTCTAAGACTCTAAAAATTGACAATTCCCTGAAGAGCTGTGAAAAGGCTCTCGTTCATATTCCTTGAAGGCAATTAAACAGCTTTGGCAAAAATAAATGAGCAATAACAGGGATTACGATTAGACCACAGAAACGACTTCACAATTTCCAGTCTCTGGAAAAAAGTGACTCAGGGGATATATGAAGAAACCCTACAGTCCGAGATACAGACAGGATAGAGGACAGGATATGGGCAAGAAAGTAACATTTCCCTCTCAAGTCCTACACTATCATTCCCTCCATGTATATTCTACAGGACTAAAGTGAGGGACGAGAAAGGAAAGCAAATCAAGAAGATCCCTTGGACTCTATCTTGCAAGATCTAGGGGCACGGTGGATTAAGTGTTGGGCTCCTAATGGAAAGATTGGCTGTTCGAATCCACTAGCCACTCCTGGATAAAAAGATGAGGTAGCATGCTCCTGTAAAGATTTGCAGATTCAGAAAACCTATGAAGCGCTTCCTCTCAGCCCCGTAGGGTCGCTATGAGTCAGAATGGATTCTGCTGCAATGGTAATCTCTCTCTTAAAGGGCAGGTATAGCGCGACTGTGCACATATTCGAGGTCCCTTAAGATATGGGGCTCACGTGTGTCTCGGGGAATGTGTGAATTTGAGGACGCTATGAGCATGAGTGGTGTGTCTCTTTATCTTTGTCAGTATCCCATCAGAGCTCGAAGGTTGACTTTCTGACGCTCTCTCTCATGGACTCTTTGTCTCTCTCCATCTGTCCTCTCTTGTAGGCTGTCTTCATCTCTTGTACCTCTGTTATCGCCTTTTTTCCTCCTAAGCCTGCCCTCTCCCCGCTCGCTCGCTCCCACCCCCCATACACCGCCCCCACCCCCATCCGCCCTCAGTTCTCCCCTAGCTCTCGCTCGCGTCCCCCGCCCGTGCAGCTCTTGCTCGCTTGCACCCGCTCTCTCTCTTTTGCTGTCTGTTACAGGCAGATTTATGGTCAGCCTAGGGTCTTTCATTGGCTAAACGCTGACAGCATTTGATTTAAAGCCATCTCTCATTGGCTGATCTTGACAGGCCGATTTACGAGTCATTCTGCCATTGGCCAAACCTCCTTGGCTCTGATTTATGGCTGAGTGGCTGCGGAGGGGAGGAGGCCGCAGCTGGGGAGTAAAGATGCCCCTCCCCTCACCACCTCTTCCCTCTCCCCTTCTTTTTTCTTTTTCTTCCCTTTCTTTCCCTCCCCTTGAGGCTTCACTCTCCCGAAACCTGTTTTTCAAGCCTCCTGCTCTCTTCTCTTCCATCTACGTATTGAGGGTGCCCTGGTTGGAGAATGGTTGTAGTGGACGATGGGGTTTGAGAAGTCTGAGAGGTTGAGAAGAGGCAGAGAAAAGAAAGGGAAGAATAAAGAAGGAAAGAGGATAATGAACTGGGGAGAGAAGGGCAAGCTAAGGGGCCAAAAAAGATGAATAAAAGGGTAAGGCTAGGAAGAGAAAGAGAGCTTTGAGAATGAAAGGAGGCAGTGAGAGAAGAGAGACCGAAGAGAAAGGAGCAAATGGATGGAAGAGGGAGCATTCCCCCAAAATCTCACTATCCAGATAGAATAACAGGGAAATTTCTTCTTCAGGCAGCGGCCCTAACAAGGAGTTATAGAGGAGCAAAAAGAGATGAAATAGGCGACAAAGAAAGGGGAACTGAAGTAATAGCAAAGAAAAGGGGGAGGATACAAAATGAATGAGGAAGATCAAAACTAAGGTTGGTTTTTGTTTTAAGGGTCTGTGGGGGAAGTGCTGTGAGAATGAACTGAACCTTAGAGGAAATACTGAAACAACTCCTCCTCTTCCTCTTTATGAAGACCCGTTGATGTCTGCATGGGGACAAGTCAAGAGACGTTCTGCTGCAGTCAAGACTGCTCTCCATCCAATATACCTTACTCCTCCCCTTCCCCAGTTAAATTTATGAGTCAGGGTTGGCCTTTAGGAATTAGGAGTATTTATGCTTCTTCGAGAGTATGGTTTAGAAGGTGATAAATAAGGGGGTATGGGGGGGAGGGGTGGTGCAGCTGGAAAGCTCCTGTTTTTAGGAGCCACTTTCCCAAGATCCCCACCCACCCCTTCACTCTCATGCTGAGCTAGAGAAGGGATCATTTGAGAGTGGTGGGGAGTGGGTCTCAAATATCAGGAAGGGGGTTTGTTCGACCTTCTTGGAGAATTCTTCAGAGAACTGTAGAGGTTTTGCAGCAGAAAGGATTGAAGACAGTTGGGAAAGGAACTTTCCAAGCGTCCTGGAATTTTCCCCCCATCCTGGAATTCTTAGAGCCCCTGGAGTACAGTTAACCAGATTTCTGCGGGAGATGGAGGGAAATGGGGAGAAACCAGTTTCCTTTTTGCTCTGTTGAGGAGGAATAGGAGAGAAGAGCCAGGAAATTCAGAGGCAGTTTTTTCAGCCTGTCACCCCACCTCACACAGAGAGGAAGATTTTAAATTCCCCAACCTCTGCAGACCACAGCCTGGATACCTGAGAGAGAAGGGTAGGAATGCAGAACTTAGGGAATCTTGGAGGGGGTGCTCTGGCCTGTACAACCCCACTGCTTGTTTGAGAATTTAAAACACAGTAGTTCTTCATACCCCTTACTCTGGGCATCCAGGAAATGAGTGGGTCTGCCCCATAGCTAGCTTGCTGTCTTCAGCCCTCAGCAACAGGAGCCATGTTCTAGTCAGTTTACTGTGGGCTTAAGGAATGTACAAAGATGGGGGTCCATGAGATAAAGGAGGTTTAAGGAAAACAAAGAGGTATTGTTGGGAAGAACCCTTCTATACCCTCTAGCAGCTATGGCCTGAGTAGGAATGGTTACAGTGTGAGGCACACCCCACCCCCCCAACCCCAGACTATACTACCTAGAGTGAGAGAGAAGGGTCTAGACTGGCCCTTTAAGAGCCATTTAGGGTCAGAAAGCCTGGGCTACAGAGAGGGGAAGGAGCTGATGTCAGAAGATGGATGGGCAGCAAGATGGGGATTGATGCTAATGGGGGAGTTAAAGCTAAGTACCCAGACACTCAGAGGGCAGAACTGCAGATCTGTCTTCCTTATGCTCCCACCCTCCCCAAACCAAAGTTGTAAATCTGCTTTCTCAATTGGGGGAGGGA